TGGGGGAAGGTGGATTTGGACCAGTGTATAAGGTAACTACTAGAAAATTTCCGTGTGAATCTGATCCAAGAGTACGGGCTCCATGTTTGAATGGCCAGTTTGTCTTAAAAAACTTTGGCAATTAAAACTCATTGCTCTCTTGCTTATACATATATATATATATATATATATATATACACCCTTTAATTTATTGTCAACCATTAATGTAGGACTTTAATTATCTATTAGTAACAACAACATAGCCAGCCAAATACAATAAAAATCTCTATTTTCTCAACAAAAGATGTTTTAGCATTCATAATGATGATTTCAGGGTACCCTAAAAGATGGGCAGGAGGTTGCAATCAAAAGGCACTCAAAGAAGTCTGATCAAGGATTGGAAGAGTTTAAAAATGAAGTTGCATTGATTGCCAAACTTCAGCATCGAAATCTTGTAAAGCTTCTTGGTTGCTGCATTCAAGGAGAGGAAAAAATGTTGATCTACGAGTACATGCCCAACAAAAGCTTGGACTACTTCGTCTTTGGTTAGTGCCTTTTAAATTTAACTTTCCTCTTAACATTTGTGGCAATCTATATATGATTATCCTTAAAACCAGTTGATAAATCAAATGGACTACTAATATTGTACTTGAAATTGATCAGATGAACATAGAAGCAAGCTCTTGGATTGGATTCAGCGTTTCCACATTATTAGTGGTGTTGCTAGAGGACTTCTCTATCTTCATCAAGACTCTAGACTGAAAATTATTCACAGGGATTTGAAGACCAGTAATATCCTACTAGATGCCTATATGAATCCACAAATTTCAGACTTTGGCCTTGCTCGGACATTTTGGGGAATCAAGTTGAAGCCAACACAAAAAAAGTGGTCGGAACATAGTAAGTTACCATATTTTTGTACTTAGTGAGTGTTGTATATGAAATTGTTTTTTTTTTTTTTTACTTATTCATCTGCATATAATATTTGCAGTGGTTACATGCCACCAGAGTATGCTGTGCATGGTCATTATTCAGTAAAATCAGATGTCTTTAGTTTTGGAGTAACAGTATTACATATTGTTAGTGGGAAGAGGAATAGGGGATTTTCTGACCCAGAACAATACCTAAATCTTCTTGGACATGTAAGCATAAAGACTAAGATTATCCACTTTGCTACTTGTTGCTTCGTCTCACATTAGTATAGATTTGAACTGAGTGATTACACTAATATTCATGGTTTTAGGCATGGAGACTATGGAATCAAGATAGACCATTGGAACTGACAAACAAACACTGGGATGAAAGTTGCAAGTCTTTTGAAATCATAAGATGCATACATGTGGGTTTGTGTGTGTACAACAGAAACCAGAAGACAGGCCAGACATATCCTCTATTGTTCTTATGTTAAATGGTGAGAAAACTTTGCCTCAGCCAAAGGCTCCTGGATTTTATACTGGAAGTGATTTACCTTACGCAGAATCTTCATCTAGAATGTGCAATCCTTTCACCCTAAACAAGATGTCCATTACAATGTTTGAAGCAAGATAAAGTATGTGAAGGTATGAGCAAATGAAGATTGAATTTTCTTGATCAGGAAAGGAAGTGATTCATAATATGTTTGGTTTCACGTTTAAATGTCTTTAGTTTCGCGTTTACTTCAATGCTCGTAATTTTAACTTCTGCATTAGAACTACGTTTAAACGTCTTTGAATGAAAATCCAAGCACACACTCAACATTCACTATGTAATGTGTTGATGCAAAACATGAACAGACAGAACACGTGAATTTGATCCAGCTAAAGTTTGACAGTTCCTATGCAAAGTTCATTATTTTGGTTTTTATAGCATTCAGGGATCCAATTGGAAAAAGAAATAAGAGCAAGCATGGTTTTCAATTTGGTTTGTGGGTCTGTGGTCAATATGCATGGAGCTAGAGGATCAAAATTATCCTTTGACAGGAAAAAATGAAGGAGGATAAAATGATTGTTTTCATAATGATTAGATTTTGAAATTGGGTATCTGCTAGAATGAAAGGCATTGATCTCTTTTTATGATTGATCATGTAGTTCTCGTCTTTGCTTATCTTATATTTGAATGATATGTAACTAGACATGCAAATCTACTTAATAGACAGATTGAGACATCCCTTGCACTCTTATTAATGATTTTTTTCTACCCAATTTTATCTATTATTATTTGGTTTAAGTCTAAATCTTTCTATTTTCTATGCTTTTCAAATTATCCTAATTATAAAATAAAGAAAGTATTAAATTATCTTTCAACCTTTGTTTCCTATGAGGTAAGCCTTACTTAGGTGTATTGTTTCCTTAGTTATTAATTTTTAATTAGAAAGAAGGGAGAAAATTTTACTTTTCCATTCATCGAGAAAACGTGATTGTTCAATTCATATCATTGGTTGGAAGGTTAATTAAAATCTTACTTGGATTATATTTAGATTGAAATATAGGTGGAAGAGGATATTCACTTGAGTTCAAATTTTTTGTGCATGACCTCTTTTTTAGAGGAAATACAATATTACAAGCTATACCCACCCCCCCCCCCCCTAAATTGTGGGATATAACCCAATTTTATCTATTATGATATGACTAAAAAATGGATCAGGTAATCAAATCCAGAAAATTGGTGAAGCAAAATCAGTCAATAACCAATAAAAAAATAAGCTAAAAATGTTGAAAAATTTATTTTTTTTTTATTTGTGTTTTGTTTATTTTAAAAAATCACTCTAAAATAATTTTAAAATAAATAAAAACTCATACATAATATCTACTTATGAATTATTATTTAATTATTTATTATACATTTTATCCTATAAGATATATAATATAATTATTTTAAGTTAATTTAAAATTTTAGTTAAATTAATTTTTTATGATTTTAGATTAATATTTACTTAATATATAATATAATATTAAAAACATATACTTTACTATTACTATTTGAAATTTATTTTACTATGGTTAAACTAATGAATCATGAAACATTTGACTTTACTAGTTCAATCAATTTCAAAAACATTAATAACAAATACACTTTCTATAAATACTATTCCTTTCTCAACCAAATATTTGCCATACGAATTAGCATTCAGCAACATTTAAGATACATTTAATTGATAGTTTTCTTTTATTAAATGCATCATACAACTTCTAAGATATTTCTAAATAATATTTTTAAATCTACAAAAATCCAAAATTGTTTTTAACTTTACTTGTAAAAAAATAAGAATAATTATTTCAATTAAACATACCTCAACAGTACCAAACAGAAGTGTGAAACAACCAATAGAAAATGGGACAGAAACAGTAACATGGAGCCTATTAATTACTGGTCTCATTCATAAGCATAGTTGCCACGCATTGACCACAGCAACATGGCCCATAGACAAATACTGCTAAGAATTGGACAAACTCATATCATAATATCCACAAAATTTTCTGATATTTTTTCTCTTTTTCCATTTCTGGGTTTGGAAGTGTTCACGCGTGGAGCTCATACATGACTTCACTCCCAAACCATAACAACTCCATGCCACCCTTATCTCTCCTTTAGTCTCTGTTCAAAGAACCTCTCTCTTTCTCTCTCTTTGCATCCACTCATTCCCCTACTCTCAGGTCCGAGTGGTTATTGCTTCACAATATTCCATTTCAGTGTGCCTTTCATTTTCCTTTGTTCCTTTTTCTTTTTGTAAAGTCCCATTATATTTGTTTACTATTATAACCATCCATTATTTCTCCAGAACTATACTATTTTTACTTTAAAAGAAAATTTTTATTAACTTACTCTGTTTAATAACAATTTATAGAAATTAAATTTTATTAATTTTATATAAATTTAATTTCACCTAAATAAAATAAGTTAACAAAAAATAGTGAATTATTTTGATAATAAAACCATAGCTTGTTTTGAAGTATATAAACAATATTTGTGGGTGGGGAATCACAGCTGAGGAAGAGAGATTTAGTAGCCACGTAGTTGAGTGGCACGTGTATCCACGTGAAATCTTCCCCTTTTTGTTTGACCAACTATCCACCTCAAATTTTCGGTGCTAAGCTAACAAATAAGATCTCATCAAAAGATTGTTTCATTCTTTCTCTTCTTTTTTTATACAACCTACAATCCTCTTTCCTATACAAATGATAGATTATGTGATATTTAATGTTTGTTTTTTAATAAATAATAAATAAAAGTTACCTATTTTTCATTTATTAAAAAATACATAGACACATAATTTAAAATTTAATATTAAATTATACATTTTCTTTAAATTAAATTTAAAATTCTACGTTGTGGTTATCATGTACATTTAATAGACCATTGCTAATGCTATTTTGACAAACCCAAGATTATCTTAAGGGAAACCCAGGTGATTATCACGTGGGTCTGGTCCCACAGTAGACTCGTAGGCAACCTCAATTTTGGCAAACTTCACGTGCCTCGGGCCCCACTCTGGACCACGTAAGCAACCCAAATCCGCATATCTACATTTAATGCCCTTAAATTACATATATTGCTTTTTTGTTTTGTTAATGAATTTTTAATCATAATTTATAAACATAATTATGCCTGATAAATTCATGAATCAAAATTGGATGAAGTAAACCCTCTTTTAACTGATAAATCAAAAATTTATTTCAAGTATATATTTTTAAAAATTCTCTTTAAAATGCCCAAAAGGAGGTGAAATTTTCATTTATTTTTCTTCTGAATTAATCAAGTGAATAAATATTTTTAAAAATAGAAAAAAATGAGATAGAATTGAGAACAGTAAAATAAAAGGAAAGAATGAGATATTCTTATCTGAAATATAATTTTGGGAAATGAGTGACGACAAGTGGCAACCCGCACAGAAGGAAAGCAAGAGGGACCAATAGAATGGCTCCAAGTAAGCGAAACGGCACCGAGTTTTTGAGGGAAGCAAAAGATCTCCCGAGAAATCCGACAAAGATATTATTAAATTGTTTAACGAGATAAATAAAAAGACGATAACAACCTGCGGAAGAAAATACGATGATGCAACTTGCAAACACTAGTTGTAACATTGCAGGCTGAGAAGGGTTCTTCCATCTATTTATGCAAAGCAGAACCATTGCCCCCACAAAGCCAACAAAGAGAGAAATTGATTCTAAGAAAATGGAAGAGTGTTGTGCGCTGTGTGAGAAGAGAGCCATGATGCAGTGCGATTCGGACCAGGCTAAGCTATGTTGGGACTGCGATGAGAAAGTTCACAGTGCCAATTTCTTGGTCGCAAAGCATTCGAGGATTTTGTTGTGTCGTTTGTGTCATTCTCTCACTCCTTGGAAGGCTTCCGGCACCAAACTCACACCCACTGTTTCTTTCTGTCATCGTTGCGTCGCAGATCGACACAACAGGTTCACCCAATTGGACCGTAATGAGCAACTGCATCCGAACTATGTGGATGAGGATGGGGAATATGGCCATGCCCGTCATCATCATGATGATGATAATGATGATGATGAAGGAGAAGATGATGATGAAGAAGGAGAGAATCAAGTGGTTCCAATGTCCTCTGCTTCTGCCTCGTCACCACCAAGTGCCTCTGATTTAGCATTGAAGCGGTTGCGAAATAACTCTTTCTCTGTCGATTCTCATGTAGGTTTCTCTCTTCTTCTTTTTTTTCAATTTACAATTTTAAGAGAAATTAAGTTCAATAGGCTTTTTGCTTTTTTAATTCTATTCGGATCTATGTTGTTTTTTCTCTTCTATATTTTTTCTTTAATTAAAATTAAGGTCTTTATTTTATATAAAAGAAATTGATCAATGATTCATTTTGGTTTTATAATTAGGACAATGTTAATGTGGGGATAAGGATTTGAGAGTGAGAATTTTGTTTTTGGTTACAGGAAGAGACAGGGTGTTCTTCATCTGAGATGCATAGTGGTGCAATGCCCAGTAGTGATGAATCAACCTCTATGAGCGTCTTTGGGTCATTGAAGAAGCATCGAAATGATGAGCGAAATTACTGATAGAGATTGAAGATCAAAGGGGTGGTGAAGGTTTGTGTTGATGAACCCACCTTGATTGAAAATCTGGACCGTTGATGATGATTTAATTACACACTATGCTTAGTGCTAACCCCATCTTTCTCTGGGAACTTGGTGGTTTGTCTCTTTCCTTTTCCCATTCAGTTTTGTAGCCAATCCCGTTGATGATAACTCAACTCTAGTTCATATTTCATGATACCCTTTTTTTACGCCAAGGATATGTACATACGTTTCAATCCTATGTTGATTCCTTTGCACCTGTTATTTCATCAGTGTCTTACTTTTATCTCTTGTGTAAAATTGCACCGAAAATATAAATACAAGGTTTTTCTTTTCACTTTGTTAATTTGCTCCTTTTATTTTGTCTTCTTGACATGTTGTGTGGAACGTGTAATTCTTCTTCTTCCTTCCATTTTGGCCCCACATTGTAGTTCAATGTTCACTATTCATTGAGTAGTGATTGATGCAACAAACTAGAAATAACCCATAATTTATGTTAATAAACTTTGTAATTAAATTTATAGCATAAGTTACTTATATGATAAAAAATTAAGATTGTTAGTTAAATTCAGTCATAGTGTAATTGTTGACTTAGGAGTGAAACAAGGCATGGGTATGGGATGGGGGAGATAAAATTGAGTGAGGAATATACGTGGCTGTTGAAGAGTTGTGGCTGTTTTGGCTTTTGTATGACCATACGTTTAGCATTGTTTATAAAGTAAGAATGCAATGTATAGTGGATAGAAAGCAAATTCGATGGACTTGTCTCCATAAGGTAGGTGACAGTGGACCTTTCTTAAAATAAAATATTGCGAGATAATTTGGGGTCTATTTTCTTGTTTGCACTTTGCCTTATCTTTTCCATCTTTTCTTGTCATACTTTTCTTTCTCCTTTTGGGAGAATGCGCTTCACCAAGGAAACAATAATTTCTTTGTATACATCATATATGGGACAAAAGGTTGTCCCTTTTTATTTTGGATAATATTTTTAGATGTGTATGTATCAAGAAAATAGAAAGAAAAAGCAAAAAATTGAGATAATTCTAAATAATGTAATGTATGATGTTAAATAACGGAATTGAGAAGGGGGGTGTGAGTTAAGTTGAATTTATGCATGTCATGTAACTTATTTAGGTGATCCGATCATTTATATTCAAGTATTGAACGATGAATAAGATATTGTGTGTTGGTTGAGGTTGGAATTTGATTCACAAATGTAAGATTTTAGGAAGAATGCACTTTGATGGGTAGGGACATTTTTTTTAATTGGTCTATAATTTTGATAGGGTTTATTTTTATATTTGAATATAATCCGATCAAAAGACTAGGTGAATTCAATTATTGACATAATGTATTAATTTTAACATTATATAGAATTAAATCTTAGAATAATAAAATATAAAATAAAAATTATGATAAATTGTATACTATATTTTTTAAAATAAATAATATCATGATGTGTAAAATACTATTTATTAAGTCTTAAAATTTTATTATTAATACATAATTATTTAAAAATATAAAAATTTAAAAAAATATATATATATATATATATATATATATATATATATTGAACCAAATTAGAAAGTTCCAAAGCATAACCCAAATATATTCTCAAAATATATTAAATCTAATTTTTAAAACTGAACCCCCTAATATCATTATAGACTTCTAGTAAGGAGCTATACATCATTTTAATCGTGAAGTTACCTTTCTTGCGTTAAATTAACCCAAGTGTTTAAAGGTTGGTCACACCATCACTTTATTTTGTCAGTCTTCTCCCTTCTCTGTCTCAAGATCGCATGATCATCGTTTATCACTGTCACCAAACAAGAAGAATGCACCTCTTGATGCCATGGGCCATTCTTTTTTCCCCAAGTTGTAACAGTACCACGTTTATATGTATATTTTGGGGAAAATTATTTTTAAATTAAAAATTAATATTAATTTAGTATCGTTTATTTCTATAAATATTACATAATTTTCTTAAAGCATACAAACAAGGATTTGATTCTTAAACATGCGTTTAATCTTCAGAAGCTTCCTATTATCTCAATTTCGGAACTTCCAAATCCAGAAACTGGTTCTTGCTTTCAAAAACTAAATTCCGTAACTTTCTAAATCATGGTTTGAGTTTTAATTTTCAAAAAGCATCTCTAACATGAATTCTGGAACTTGATTTCCAAAAAATGACTTTTAGAATTTTATTTCCAGAAGTCTTCAACGGCAAAACTCTTCACCTTTCTGAAGCTACTTTTTTCTGCTTTAGTGCAAGGGTATTTCTAAAAAAACGTGCAAAAAATATAGAGGTGAAAATAGAAAAAGAATATTTGGAAAAAGCAACCCCTGCCCTCAGTTGTCTGTTTTATAGCCCATGTTGTAGCCTTCGGACGGGGGGCCTCCTTCTGGCCCTGTTGAGTTCATATCTTATCACTCGTGACATTAAATAAAAATAACAAATGAGGCTTAACCCAACAAACACTTGGGAATGATTGCCTACATCCTCATAAAAGGAAATTTAGCCTATATTCCCAAGCCTCAACCTTTACTGGGTCTTCATGTATTGGTTTAAAATAACGGAGATAATAATGAACAGAAATTTTCAGAATATGTTCTTGAAATAATCATGATGTGTATACTTAATAGACGTTCAAGCGTGCGATTGTTGTGTTTGTGCTTATTATCTCTTTTCTAATTGAAATCAGATTCTACATATATATGCCCGCATTCAATGCACTTCTCATGCTACCATTTGTCCAATTATTTCCCCAAAACACACGGTTAAACATCTTTTAAATTGACCGGCAATATGTGTGATAATAATAATCAAATATATAATTATGGTGGACACCATATTCGGACTAAAAACCACTAAACTTCAAACCAAGCCAACCTTGTGCCTATAAATAGAAATACTATATCCAGGAAAAAATTCGTTAACCGTGTCAAGGATTGACTGCCACCATTCACTGGATTATCGTTATCAACATTAGTTTAGCTTAGTCGATGTGTCTGAAAAAGGAGTAAACGTGCTGACATGCACAAATTAGTCGTAGTTCCATAAACATAGCTCTATAAAATCATCAAATAGCTAAACAAGTGCTCGTCATGATAATCCGATACATAATGGGAAAACAACCCCAAAAACAGCCACAGTCAAACTTGTACATCTACATTAAAGAGTATATACCACTTGGGAACCAAAAACAATCTTCCAACAGCCTAAAGGAACCGAGGTCATATCAAGCCATACAAAATCATCCATAATCATTCCACAGTTCATATGCAGGAAATACTCTAAGTACAACCTGACAGGAAGAGAAAGAGAGCACTCTACAACCATTCCCACCAATCCCTTTGGATCAGAAACATTCTGCAATCCAGCGAAATAAAAATCACGGGGAAAAAATTACAGTGCATTAGGCTTAGATATTTCATAGAAAAGCTTAAACAAGAAAATAGGATCGATAATTGTTGCATCTGATAAACCTATAGCTAATAGAAAGCAAGCACTATGGGCCAAAAACAAAAGAACAAGGAGTAGAATAAAGGACGAGACGCCATCCAATGAAAAATACAAAACAAATTCTTTTAACATCAAAATGCATAAAGTAGGGACAAAAAGCGTGTCAGAGCACACCTGCAGAGACAGAGCTGAAGTGATGAGTTGGCTCCCGCTAATCCTCTGCCCCAAACCAACCAACAAATAAGAAGTAAACTTTCAATTTCACAACCAGCATAAATCAATTTATCAAAGAAGTAGAAAACAAATACCAATAACACAAATATCTTGAAATCAAGTGCAGATACAACTCTAAATTACATTGACAAGTGGAATGTATAAATCACGTTGATCTATTTGAAGACTCCAAAAATTAATTAAACCATTTTTTGAGAGGTGAAACTAATTTATTGAATTTGAATCAACATTAAATCCAAGCAATGCATTTAAATATTCATATTAACAGAATACTGTGAGAGTCACATCTGAGGTATATATAGGAAAACCATACTAAACCAATGAAAATTGATCACCATCGTTGCATACTCCCCTTAGAAAAAGCGAAAAAACCAGATCATTTTAATGTTCTTTCTTAATAAATCTACACTATCTTGCATTTACTCTGAATACAGAAAGCACAATACTGAAACAATATAACATTTTTATCAAGCATGTACACGGAATTGAAACTAAGTTTTGCAACAATAATAATATCAACTTTTGTCTATTAGCAACACGTTGCACAGAAAGAAAGGTCAAAAGGGCACCCTATCAGGCAGGGATTCCACTTATAGGTGGCTCATTGTACACAAAATGGTTAGCCACAAAAGACTTAACTCTTGCCATGAACCAGAAGGAATACAGTTGTCTTATCCTCAACAGAAGCCAAGATTTAAGTCCAACCTATTCGTGAATGATTTGGTTGGATACATTCAAAATCCCAAAACATCAATAAATGACAAGCCACATCATAATATTCAGGAATGTAAAACATTCACACCATCGGAGTTACTTAATAATGATCAGATATTCAACTTCGAAGTCCATAACTCCATATCTCACTCAACATACCATCCACATTTGTTCTAGAATCACAGTGGCCAGTCAATTTTGGTCTATATCACAAGTATTCTCTACTAGAGGCAGTCTTGTTTGAGCAAAGTAATACCACTATAGGCAGCAAAGCTCTCCCTATAGTAGTCAATCAACTGTCTCTACCAATATAAAGATAAAAAATTCCCTTGATCCATAAAATTCTAACATCTAAGAGCCATCACCATCCACCAAGTCACAACCAACACATTTCTTTCAGGGGTGGGGATTACCAAGGGAATGTAAGCTAAGATTTCTACACTACACAAATCCCAAACCATCCTTACCAAGCTGAACTATTATCAAATGGCACTATCAAAACCAAAATTTACAACTAATAAGGAGGCACTTGACCTCACTCTATTCAACCAATAAAATGTTTGGAATCGCATGTAAACGTGCTTTAAAATCACCTTAACATAAAAGCCACAATTATCCATAACCAATCAAACGCGAATTTGTGTCAAAAGACCACGTCTACAATGTGGCAATCATCATATTAACTCATAATATCAAATTCAACGACACTAGCCTCTACCACACACGGAATTTAACTATACTCAATTACATGGTACCTTTCTTATGAGGCACAGGCTGAATCACCGCCTCGCCCTCCTCGCCCTCCTTCACGGCCACCACGGCCTCAGCGGTGGCGGCGCCGGCGGCATCCTTGTCGTCGGGATAGCGAACAACAACGACAGGGCAGACGCAGTGGTGAACGCAGTAATCACTGACGCTGCCGAGCCGGCCATCGCTACCACGGCGCACAGCGCCGAAGCCACGGCTGCCCATGATAACGGCGCTGAGACCAAGCCGCTCGACCTCCAAGCAGAGCCGCTCCTTCATGTCGTGGTCCTTCACGATGTGGATCTTGTACGGAATCTGCGCGTCGCGTAACGGCTTCGCGAGATCGGCGGATTTCGACGCCGTGAACGCGTCGAAATCGTCCTCCAGCTTCCGCTTGCTGTTGTGGTCGTTGCTGCTGTTACTGTTAGCGTTAACGTTGACGGCGTTAACGGCCTCCTCATCAGAGTTAGGGTCGGTGTTGATGGAAAGGTCGATGGAGCCCCAATCGGCGCCGAAGAGGACGTTCGTTGGGCTGACGTGGAGGAGAATCACGGCATCACCGGGACGGATATAGTGCTGCACGGCCCAGCGTACAGCGTATGCGCTCTCATCGGAGAGGTCGACGGCGACGCCAATTTTGCGGCGGGCGCCGGCGGTGGGAGTGGGAGTGGCCGCCGCGGAGGGGTGACGAGGGGAGGAAGGGTGGTGGATTTTGATTTGCGGTAGCTGTGGGTCGGAATCGAGTGCGACAGGGTTCTGGTGAGGCTGCATTTTTTTGGTTCGGATAGAGAAATGAAGTTTCTAGAGTATAGATGTCGCTTTTTGTTTCTTACTTAACTATGAAGTAGTAGTAGTAGCATTAGTCGTCCACCACTCCGTTAACTAAGGAATCAACGGTGTTCTTTTTTAAGTTAAAAATGTGAAGCCGTATAAAGAAACTTCAAGTTGGGCTACGATTTAGTTGGGTTGGGCCTACCTATTGGCCCACTTGTAGGCTTCCATTCGGTCATTGTGTCTGAGGCAAGTGGTGCCACTATCCACTCTTATAGACAAATTAGGCTTAGTGTGATTATTTCTAAATATTAATTGAGGAGTTTTACTTTTATGCTGTTAGAAACATACAAACCCTCACATCTAGTGGACGTGCCGGAGTGGTTATCGGGCATGACTAGAAATCATGTGGGCTCTGCCCACGCAGGTTCGAATCCTGCCGTTCACGCTTTTTCTTCTTTTTTCGTAGTCATCATCTTTTGTCAGGTATGTCGAGTTCTATTATTATAAATGAATTGAACACTTTTCAAAATGAATATGGATTCAACACTCAACACTTTTACATTATAACAGACAATTCGAAAACCACACATTATTTAAGTTAACTCTTAAGTTTTTCTATTTAATCTATTTAATTTAAGTTTTTTATCTTTCATAATAAATTATCATTTTAAGTTTTTTATTATATAAAATATTTAATTTTATAGATATATTAATGTTATAATCAAGGTAATTTTTACGGTGCTTTATAAATTATTTTTATATTTTTTCACACGTAAATATTTATCATTATTAATATTATATTAATAAATAATAAATTTAGTAATTTATTTAAAAATAACATAAATATTATTTAATCTCTAAAATATTAAAAAGATCACACCATTAATTTTAAGAAGATATATAATGTCTTCTTAAGTTTATTAGTCATATATTACACTTATTTACATTAACCGTCACCTTATTTATAATATTGTTTTAATACATAGTTAGATAAAATTCAAAAACTTAAAAAATTATGAGTAATTTTTAATTTTATAAATTTTAAAAATATATAATAATAATTACACATCATGAATGTTGCTTTTTAAACTAAAGCATAAGTATATGTGTAACATATATATATCCATTTAATTTTAGCACTTCTTACTTTTTTTTCATATTAACACATTCAATGTACAAATAAACTATATAGTTTAAATGATTAAAAATTAATATCATATACCATCATTTTTATCTTATTATTTATTTTTTTAATATATATACATATTTTAAAAATACATCACAAAAATATTAAAAAGAACTTTAAAAAATATACTTTTTAAGTAATAAAGAATGTAATTTTTATAGTATTTTATAAATTATTAGATAATGAAATTAGTAACTTATTTAAAGATTTTAAAATATTAAAAGAATTACGATGGTTAATGAAGTATACAATAACTATTGTTATTTCAAAATTTTAAAAAAATACATACAACTGGTTAAAATTTTAGATGGAGGAAAAAGCCTGTATACATTTGCAGTCATGTATCCCCAGAACGTTTACAAAGATAGAATATAATGCCGTATTACAAATATGGTTAATATATGATTGTGTAAAGTATCATCCTTTGGCAATAAAAATACACATATTGTGATCTCAGTCAGATTGAATTAAAGCCTCAAATTCTAATGGGAAAATTTAACCAAAAAAAATGAAAAATCAACCAATTTCAAGAGTGCCCATCTTTCTATGACTGCACAAAATGAATCTGACTATGGCTATTACTCCTATGATACACTTCTAATACCACCCTATTAAACACAGTTTCTTCACTAATAGTTTCTCCATTACAAGGCCTTCTCCTTACGAGGAGGAACCCCAAAGAACCCAACGGAAGTGCAAATTATCGCACAAAACTTACCCCATATTATCAAAACCAGAAGACTAATGATAAAAAGCAAAGACAGAGACACGTTTGGACCAAAAAACCCTTTTTTTCTATCTCCAATATTTTGCTTCTCTTTCATCGACCCTTTTCGATTTACTGGCAAAGATGTTGAAAAGGATGAGCCTGAAGCCTTTGTATCTGTTGAAGTAATTCTTGAAATTGAAGATGATAAGGAAGATGTGGCGAATGCACTTGAAAGGTGAGAAAAGGAAGTGTTTGAAGCACTGGTTGCAAGGGAAATTTTGCTTTGTGTGCTTGCGATTTTATCACTTTTTGCTTCTAAGTTTCTCGTACTTGATCTGGAGGAACAATCCTTGCTTGTTGTCTTCCTTTTATTTACCTTCTTGGCCTGTAATTGAAGATGATCAGAAATGTGTTTATCAGCAAATTTATAATTAAAAAAATATCAGCATTATACACAACAAATCGAAAATGTGATGACATTAGCATTCACAACACTGCATTAAAACTAAACCACACACAAAGTGCGATCAAATTGAAACACGGTAACAATTATAAAGTAATTGATTGCATTAAAATACACGTTGGATTTGGTATGGTATATTGGATCATCTGAAATGAACATCATAGAGGAAAGCGTTCGCTTATGCAAGAGAAAAAAGAAAGACAACTGATTGGACATAAAATTGGCGCACTTTTGCAAAGTTAATGGCGTCATTCACTACGATAAAAATTTTATTTAGTTTTTTTCTCATGACAAGATCAAGAAAACTACCATATAATATATATTCTCGAGGAAAAAAGAGTTTAAATCTAATTATATAATTACAATTCAGAATGAATTCAAGGTCTTAAAATGTCAAAAACAGCAATCATGCATGGCGTCTATATCATGATTATGAAACCCCTCTATAACCGTATTGAATCTGCATTAGCCTCATTTGCCATAAGTTTTTTCAATTTCAGAAACTAGAACGTAACGATAACCGTAACAGCATTTAAAATATACAAGACTCATACAAATACGATCGGAACAAATGGAAAGAAGGAAGATCAACTGCAAAATTAAATAGAATTAATTTTGATTCGTTAAATGCAATTGACATGCGAATTTAATTAATTTAAACATGAACATTTCATATATTTTTTTTTATTAAAACATATATATTTTTAAATTAAAAATTGGAGAACTTATTTTGTAACTTTAGAACATGTACTTACCAATGATGAATGATTGAAAGCCGCTATGAGAGCCTGGCGAAGAGATTTATCTTTGCCAGACTTTTTCCGGCGACTTGGTTTTCCGTCTTCTCCATCACCCTTCGCGGCGGTGAAAGCTGACGACAACTTGGACGACAACTTGGTCGGCAACACCACGCTTTGCTTCTCCGACACGGCAATGTAGGAGACAAGCGGGTCGGCATTTTGCAATTTCCGACGTGGTTTGACGACAACGTGGTCGTAGCGGTCAGATTTGAAACACTGAAACAAAAAACATTTGACTCGGTTCTTAGGCTTGATCTTCGAGGACTCCATGGTCGGAAGACAAGCCTTGACTTGAAGCTTGTTACGGTGTCGATGGTTACGGTAACGTCGTTGAATTGGTGGGTTTTGGCGGTTGGGGTTTGACGGTTGAAGGAGATCCAAGGGTATGTTTGGATGGTTAGAAAATTAAAGACGTGAATGTGAGCATCATAAGAATTAAGCGTTTAAGAATGTTGTGATGCTTGGAATGTGGAAGGGTTTTTACGTAGTATGTTACCACAAAACAGTTTGATCAAAGAACAAAAAAACACATACTGAATTAATTAAGGAGAATAACATGGGATCTCACGTTTGATTAATTGCATCATTTGCATGCCCAAATCACCATTCGAACATTCCTTGGATTGAGTCATAGTCAAAATGAATAGTAAGTTGCTTGACAGCGTATTTGGATCGATTAACCATTTCTTTATTTAGGTAAACGAGTAATCAAGTATTTAATTTTTGGCATCTGTTGCGTGATGTCTAAAATTATTTGAAATTGAAATTCTAGGCGTTCATGATTACTGTTTTGGTGATTGAACGGCTGATAAAAGCTTTATTCGGATAAAAGTTAGAGTATAATTTATTTTCGATTTGATTTATGTATAAAAAAAACATATTTATTGTTCTTTTGACAAATTACTCTCTTTATTAGAAAGTTTTGTTAGTGTTCTAGACTAAAATGTATTTTCTCTCGTCATCATATTTTAATGGTTTTTTTTTACCTTCAATAATCAAAAGTGGGATACATCCATTCATATTTTTTCATGTATAAGATCTAATTCAACAAAAATTTATAAATTTTTTTATACACAATAATTTTATATATTAATCAATATAATCTTATGTGAATAAATTTTCGAATTGTATCAACAAATATTGCATAGATAGGTTTCCAAAATTATCAATCAATTACTTTCTTTAAGTTACCAATCAAATAAAAAAATATTTCGGACATAATTTTGACTGAAATCCAAATGAAATATTCAAAAAGTAATTTATCTTTGTTTTTTTATTTCTTATATTCCTCACAATCAAATTCTTGATTAGGAGTATAATAATTTTATTCTAAATTTTAATTTTCTGACATGCAAAATTACGTATGTCATCCCTTTGCATTTGTTGGATTTAACAAGTATGCTTTTGTATTCGTCCAATCCTAATGTACTGTTTAAGGTTTATAGTTTACTTAATTTCTTAACTTTTATTGATATAACTCAATATCTATGTATTTGTGAACAGTATAATTATGAATATTTTATCATAATTAGTGTGAAAACTTTTTTTTTCTCACTCAAATTGGAGTATATTCTTACCTTATATGTTCTTATTTAGGTACAAATTCAACTTTCACTATTTTAATTTTTTATAATACTCAATTCTTTTTTATGGATAGGATAGCTAATAAAATATGTTTATTTTATCACATTAACTCACCAAACTATTTATATGGACAGTTTTTAAAACCATCAAAACTGAATTAAAGAGAAAATTTTTGACTTAATTTTAGCTCAATTTTATCTAAAATTTTTAAATGGGTAATTTCTCTTTATTATTTCCTTTTTCACATTCCTTTTATTCAAATCTTTGATTAGGATAAATGTAATATAAAATAATCTCATATATATATATATATATATATATATGAATATTTTTTTAATTGTTAGAACTATTTGATATGTACTCCAAATCATTGATTATTTATTTTTTTAAAATTACTAACTAAATCAAAATGAAGATTTTATATAAACTTCAACTTAAATTCGTATGAAATCTTTAGATAAATAGTTTTATATATATATATATATATATTCCTCCTTATCAATCCTTGATTTAAGAGTATAATTAATAATTTCATTATATATTTTAATTTTCTAACTTATAATTATGCATGTTTAATTTAGATACCACGTTTCTCTAATTAGAATTAACTATCACATCTATGCTTTTGTTCAATTTATTAAACAAAATTTATGCATTTGTATTAACTTAGTACTAATGTCAAGTTATTGCATTATTTTTTGAGATCTTTAATTTCGACATAGTTGAATACTCAGTGTATTCATTTTTGGCCAATGTATACTTAACTTTTATTTACTAATTTTAAATATGTTCCTTCTTTTTAGGAATTTCATAGGTTACATGTGGGTTCAAGTACTACGCAATAATGCATGAAGAACATTTGATTATTATGAGAAAAAAATTAATATCAATTTAATCTAGAAACAACATAATTGGCTGCAATTAATTATTATCACCATAAAAACTAGTATGAGAAATTGGAAGTCCAACACCACTTAGGCACACTAGACCTTAGATTGGGTCATCTCATAACCGTGTCACCGTCACCATCGGAACTAGTGTTGGATGTTGGAGGTCCAACTTACTCCAATCAAAACAGTGTTTAATCAAGTTCTTAACCATATAAGTATAATTGAGGATTTTTAATACAAATGTCTTCCATTAAATAAATTCAAATGTTAAATTTTAAGAGATTTAATTAATAACTTGTATTGTTAGTCTGTTAAAGGAGTTATTTATTTTTATTATTATAAATATACACTTTTATTATTTAGACATGTGATTGTTTATGTCATGTTTTTTTATTGAGTTAATGATATTATCTATTAGTATTTAAATAATTTTTTAAATTAAAATCAATAAAAGATCAACAATATCTTAAGACTCGAGACTCAATTAAATCATTCATTATTTGAGACTTTTCTTGCAAAACTAGCTTGATAGAAACTGTAACTTCATAATTCTCGTACTAAAAGATGAAAAAAAAATTGATCAAAGAAATAATCAAAACAATAATAACAATGAAGTTTTGAAAAAGCACATTAATTAACAACACTAATCAACAAAAATCTAACCAATATGCTAAAGGAAGTTTAACTTAACAACAAAAACAAAATCATTCCGACATTCCCCATGTCTAGGAACCTGAACCCTAATTTCTAGAAATTTAACTAATATCAATAATCAATATTACTTCAATCTAACTCAACAATAAAACCTTCAGATTAAATTGACTACCATTCATGAAGTGGTGTTGCCAACCATGGAAGCACAACCGGGAACAAACGCTTTTGATCGCTAAAATTAAATTCGGGATGAAACCTCAATACTTTGCTCACCATGTCATATGAAGCCACACGACCATGTAATCTCAAATAGACAACATTCTCGTCAATAGGATGAAAATCGAGAATCTTAAAGAGGTTATACTCTCCGTCAACAAGTGGCAATCTTCGTTGGACAATATTATAGAACCATTCCCTATTTATAGTTGTTTTCATTCTCGCTAACGAAACACAATGCAACAAATTCCATTCATCTCCCTCAACCTCAACACTGTGATTCTTCTTTAGTTCCCAAATATACAAAACAGGAACAGTACGAATTGCCACGCGAACCGCACATAGACGCCCTTGGCGTACTCTCAGTGAAGGTCCTATTTTATGTTGTTGAAAAGATCGAACTTTCGGGAGCTTAATTACATGATTGTGATAACCTGATGATGAATTTAAATCCACTGCCAAAATCCCAGTATGCAAACTACGCGTTATTGCATAAAGTGTCCCATTACAAACTATAAGTTTTATTATTAAATGAGTACGAAAGTGTGTTTTCAACTTTATATTATGTTGTACCCATTTCCCTGAAGAAAATATTTGTAACACGAGAATATCATGACTTGATATTTCTCTTAGTACTTGCAGCACCTTGAATTTTTTGCTTCCATCATGAGAATCACACATAAGATGAGCACAAAAATTGTTACCATGTTTGGTTGGAGGAAGAGCCCTCCACTCTTGAGTTAATGGGTTGCAAATGTAATATTCAACAAGTCCGACTGCATGCGTTGCAAAGCATAAGAACAGGTCTTTCAAAGCATGAACAACATGCATATTTTTCTTCTTACTGCGTCGATAGCAAGGGAGAAAATTGAAGGAGAATCGATGAGATTTGAACACTGAGTCTGAATCCTTGCATGCTGATTTAAGCCTTTTACCGTTGAATGAAGAGTACATAAAAGTCCACCAGCCAAGAAAACAAGGATTAGGCCTAGATATCAGAAAGAACCACTCTTTTGAGACGCACTTGCACCGCATCAAATACTTATATGGGAGTTTACAGAATATTTCAATCTTTAAGTCTCTGGGTAGATCATCAAACTGCGTAGTTTTCTTCCGCTGTTGGAACATGAGAGAACGATTTCCAGCCATAGGCACGATGAGAAGAGACGACAGAAGTTATATACGGTAAGTGATGTACTGTGATCAAAAACGTGAAAAATAAAGAGAGAAGAAAGAATTTAAATAGGAATAATGTGATCTTTAGTATCATTATCTTTAAGAATTAAGAGATTGAAAATTACGCGTAGATTACCCTTACGATTTAGCATCGTTATCTTTCAGTTGAGATTTGAACTGAAGTAAAATTTGAACTGTTATGCTTAATTTAAAAATAAAAACAAATTAAAAAGATATATTCATTTTTTAATAATAAATATTTTATTATATTAAATAATAATATTTAATATATCAGATAATTTTTAAAAATATTTAATCAATGAACTTTATTTTAATATATAATAAAATTTTAAAATATATACAGGTAATTATAGGCTACAAGATTGCAAATTTATAAATGTTTAATTTACTTAAAATTGAATATAACTATGAAAATAATATCAAATATATTAATTGAATTTTTATGCATATAAAATATCATTTCATTAATCCGGCTAAGTAGTGTTAATCTCCAGAAGAGTTCAGTAGCTACAAGGAACCGTTAATCCGGTCAACGTCAAACCACGGTTCAAAGACGGTCCAGTTTTGAAATCTCATTTTTTTTGCATTGCATTGGAGCAGGATAATTGAAGCGCCCAGTGAGTGAGTGTGTTTTGCTCCGTGAAGGGTTTTCGCTGTTTCTCTGAACATGGCAATCGAATCCTTGGATTTGTTCCGTTCCAATCTCTCTCGAGTTCGGATTCCACAACCTACCAATCGCATCTTCAAGCACGAATGCTGCGTTTCTTTCGATACTCCGGTTATCTTTTTCTTCTTTCGTCCAAGTTCTGAACATTATGAATTTTAGTTTGAACTAACTTCTTTTTCATTTTCTAATTTTGTTTATGTTATCTGAATTCTGAGGTGATGACTGCGCTGTTTCTTCGATTAACTGTTTTTTTTTTTTTTTTCCTTAAGATTTTAAGCATTAGGATTTGTAATGATTATTCCTTGGCTGCAATGGTTTTGTGATTTTTCAGCATTGTGGTTTGAAGATATCAATGTTAATGGTTGTCAATTCTTGTGATTGGAAATCGATGTTGTTAGCTCGCTACATGTTTAGAGCGTCACAATGCGTGAAATTGATGCTTGTTTGGTGCTGATATTTTTTTTCTTACAAATTTCAGAGATCAGAAGGTGGTTTGTTCATCGACTTGTACACTTTCCTTGCTTTTGGGAAGGATTTTGTTGATTGGAATTATAAGAAGACAGGAAATCCTGTCTATTTGCATATAAAGCAGACAAAGAAGTTAATTTCAGAAGACAGACCATTAAAGAAGCCCACTATCTTGGCTATAGGTGTGTGAATATTCATTCTTCGCTATATATTATGATCATGCAGTTCATATGATAAAACATTAAGATGTGCTTTGTGATTATCCTGTGTTCAATTTCAATCTTTGTTCAGTTGTTAAACTTTTGTGTTTTTCACTTATATTTCTTTTTTGCCACACTGAGTATATAGCTCTAATATTCTAGGTATTGGGTTGTGGGGCCATCACTTTGGTAGTTTTGTGAATGCTAGATCGTTATTCTCTCTGATTATTGGAGTTTTTGACAACCAGCTGTGCTGTTTTTGGATAACATAATTTTATCCTTCTAATTAAATTGTAGGTGTTGATGGTGGTTTTGATAACAATGAGCCTGAATATGAGGAAAATCATAGTATAGTCATATTACCTGAGTATGTGTCCCTTCCATTCCCCTCTGTGGAATTGCCAGAGAAGGTATTTGTTCCCCTCTTTTTAATTTTCTCTGTTTATTTACCCCTTTTATTAATTGAAGAGAAGTTTGTGCTATATAGGGTAATAGGAATTTAGTTTAGTTGTCTCATTTGTTAAAAATATTTTAGGTGAGGTTGGCAGTTGATACAATCTTGTTATCTGAGGGTGCCGAACGAAAGGAGCAACTTGCAGCTTGGACTGCTGATAAGAAACAAGTTAGTGCCTATGCGATGACTTTACAACAGATTGACAATGGTGTTGTTATTCCACCCAGAGGGTGGAAATGTGCTAAATGTGAGAAGACTGACAATCTTTGGCTAAATTTGACTGATGGAATGATTCTTTGTGGGAGGAAAAACTGGGATGGAAGTGGTGGAAACAACCATGCTATTGAGCATTACCAGAAAACAAGCTACCCCCTTGCTGTAAAGCTTGGGACTATCGCTGCAGATCTGGAAGCAGCAGGTGATGCCTTCTTGCTGATTATTGTGTTTTGAGTTTTATATGTTCCTATTAATACCGACAGTTTACTTGTATTGTGTGCAGTCTGTAATTATGGGAGGAAACTATTATGTCTATCTGATTATTTCTGGGCTACAATTTACGAGTGTTTTGTTCTTTTTTTAACTGTTATTTTTATAATGGTCTGATTGGTTGATTATGCAGCTTTTGGGAAACTGTATTTTTTCTACTCTTCAAGTACTAATTAAATAAAAATTTAATTATCAATTTAATATCTCAATGCTGAGGAAGGGTATTTCTGAATGAAATGTAAATATAGGGAGTTTCTCTCACATTATTCAGGGGGAAGGGACGGGGATAAGATGAAGTGAAACTGTTTTTTAATAGGTTTAAGCTTGGATTCACCATGCATTGTGTAAATTTTTTTAAAACCATTTTAAAGAACAATCTTTTTTTTTACTTGTTTATCTGTTTGATCCATCCCAGACTCTAGGTGATTTTTATCTGGTGAGATTTATGTAAAGATAGAAGTGTGTCCTTTGGAGGTTAGATGCCAGCTGCCACTTTTGCATGATATAATCTTCGAAGAGATAAATTACAAATTTATTATTATTTTATCAAACAAGCTTTAAAGGTTTCATTATTTAAGTACATTTGTCACGCTGTGATGTTCTGTTTCAGACTAAATAGTTTTGTTTTTAGCCTGAACAAATTATTTTAACTATGTAATATAATTATGCTCTATGGAATAGATGATGGATTTTTCATTTTCTGTGCTGTGTGCTAATTATGGAATTCATTGTGGCAGCTCAGATGTTTTCTCGTATCCAGAGGATGAAAGTGTCTTGGATCCACAATTAGCCCAGCATCTGGCATTTTTTGGCATTGACTTTTCATCACTACAAAAGGTTAATTATTTATCTTAAATAATATTTCTCCAATGGTACTTATCACTCATGAATTTTCAGACACTGCACCTATATCACAGACACACACAATCAAAACTACATTGTAGGGGATTTTTTTCAAGTGAAATGAACGGATTTCAAACAACATTTAAAATGAAAGAATTTGAAAACTCTCTCTTTTCTCCCCACCATGATTGTTTTATCTTCCATTCTTGTCTTCATTTTTAAAATAGCCCACTTTTTTATATTTAGACTGAAATGACAACTGCTGAAAGAGAACTTGATCAAAATACAAATTTTGATTGGAATCGGATCCAAGAAAGTGGACAAGAAGTAGATCCAATTTTTGGACCTGGATATACAGGATTGGTCAATATTGGAAACAGGTAGAATTGGTCCCCACTGCTTACTGCTGATTATTCAACACTGGGTTGACACTTCTATATTTCTTCATTTTGTTCTTTCAGTTGTTATATGGCTGCAACTATGCAAGTTGTGTTTTCAACAAGATCCTTCATATCACGGTCAGTTCATGTCTTTTATTTTCTTACAGCTTTATGAACACTGTTTGCATTTACTTCAATTGCTTTTATTTCATTCTTAGGTACTACTTGAACCAAAGTCTAAAGAAGGCATTTGAGGTGTCTCCTGCCGATCCAACTGTAGACCTAAATATGCAGTTGTAAGTGCATGTGTGGCTTAACTTATTTTTGTGTTTAAAAAAGCTTTTTGGCTAGAAAGCCTTTTGTGTGTATAAATTAAACAAACCAATCATGTAATGTTAGTCTTTCTTACTCGATAGTCATGTTTAGTTCATTTGAATACAAGTGTATTGGTCCTTCATGCATGTTTTATTGTATCATTGATAATTGGCTCCAACAATCAAAAGAAAAAAAAAATATGGAGGAGAATGAGAAGTCAAAAGATGAAAAATATTGTTCAGTCAACTTTTAAACTTACATGATGACATGAAACTTTTTGTGATACGATTGATTAAAATTATAATTTACTTCTCAAAACTCTGCAACCCTGCAAAGCTTGTGAAAACAGTCACAGTATTCTTTTTTAGGAATTAATTAATCAATTCAGTATGATAATTTAGCACAGCTAGATATTGAAAGATTTTCACCCATTATTTTACACAAAATTTTAGCCACCCATTGTGTCAAGAATCTGTATATCTCTTATATGTGGCTACATTATTTTTCTTGTTGATTTTATCTTTTGATACAGGATATGTCGTGCTATGTTTTGAAAATTTGATAAATTGTTGTTACAATTCACAATATATAATAAAACCATAGATGCACTCAAGAGATATTCAGACTCTACAGAAATCAGATTGGTTGTCTCATATATTGTTTTAATAGCATTTGTGTCAGTGTATATGGATGTTTGTTTTATTTTAATTTAGTTTCTTTTTTTCCATGGTAAAGATGGATTTGATAATAGGTTACTTGTGTAGATAATCCATATGTATAACCGGACTTGTAAGTTCTAGGAGAACATTCTGTTTCCTCCATAAAATATTTTTTTATGAAAGGAGGTACTTCAAGCTAGAGAGTATAGACCCTTTTTAATTAATTATAATTTAAAGGAGAAGTTCAATTATAGTTTCATTTATTGACAGGACAAAATTGGCTCATGGTTTACTTTCTGGTAAATATTCTGTTCCGGCATTTGAGGTATGTCCCAAGAGCTTGGTAAACTTCATTTGAAAATTTGTTTAGAGTCTTAGCTAATTTATATGTTACCTTTGGCATCCAGATCGATGAAAAAGAAGATGTTGCTACTTCAACTACAACTGCTGTAAGCTTTCTGGCTCTCCTGTGATTTAAAATTTAAATTTCTTAGTCTATGTTTACCTTAATGCTTACTGAATTTTCACAAATAGGGTATGTTTGATTTCTCTTTTAAAAAGAGTTTTTTATTTTTTTTCTAAATGTAGTATAAATTTATACTATATTTAGAAAAAAAAAAAAATTCTCTTTAAAAGAGAAATCAAACATAAAGTTCTTGTTTTTCTTTTTTCTCTCTCTATGTCTCAAATTTTTCCCTTTAAGTTTATATGCTTTTGGGGTGGAACAAAATATTTACAGGGGATGGACTTCAATTAGGATGGGGTTGAATGTGTTGTTATTGCATTCGGTTGAAGTCTCAGTTGGAATTAAAAGAAGATTTACGTTATTTAATGTTTTCTCATCCTCTTTTGTGTGTTGTTTCTTATTCACATCGACTTTCTTCAAACATTAGAAACAAGAAGGGATACGCCCACGTATGTTCAAATCTGTAATTGCTGCCAGCCATCCTGAATTTTCCTCTACGCGACAACAGGTATGTTTGACAACTATTTTTCATTCCCGAGCATGCATAATGAGATAAGAAGCAAGCATTGAATATTTTTCTGTTTCACATGTCGAAAATTATTTCCAAATTTCAGTTGGAACGCAAACTTAAGATTATTTGCCTTTAAGAAATCATTTTATTGTAACCTTATCTTCAAGTATAATGGTTAAGATATGCATTTCCCGCCTTTCATAAGCAACACACCTCTGAAAAAATATGGATTTGAAAGTTTGGTTCAGCACTTGAATAATTAATGGGTTTTGTTAACATCAACACTCAAGGGTAAACTTAAACAACTAAAAGTGATAAATTTTTATGGGGAAAAAAGTATTCATTGTTTAAAATATATAAAAATATAATCAAATATAAAAAATTTTGATTTATAATTGTTTAAAATTAATATTAAGGATTGATGTTGACGACTATTAACAAATTATGTTTTTAAAATCAAGCATCGAATTTTGCTACAATTTTATTTTCATGTCTTTTTTTCAATTTATTCTCCATTTTATCTAATACCTTAATTTTCTAGTAAGATGGATGAATATTTGCGTTTTAAATTATAGTTGCAGTCATAATGCTCTTTAATTTTCATCACTTGAAATTTTATTGAATGCCTATGATCTTTTTTTAATATTATATATATTATCTAAAAGTTGTGTTTTTAAAATGGACTTATGGTTTAGCAACAGAGCTTACAGTTCAATGAACGATATTATCTTCAATGTCATAGCAGTTTAAAACAACTTAGTTTTACTTATGGTTTCTTAATAAATTTTGGCCATCTTATGTGTTTATTTTGGCTTTAAAGAAGTCTAGAACAGAAAATGTATAAACATAAGTTGTTCTGATTCTTCAAAATTTTCTGCCATTCTTTCTTTGATATGTAGTATATTGTTCTGCCTAATGTCAGGTTACTTTGCTACCTTTTGACTGCTTGATTTCAACTTGATGTCAGGATGCTTTAGAGTTTTTCCTGCATTTTCTTGAGCAAGTTGAACGAGCTCACGCTGGGAAAACTGAACTGGATCCATCGAGGAGTTTCAAGTTTGGTATTGAAGATAGAATTTTGTGTTCATCTGGAAAAGTTACATATAATAGAAGGCATGACTACATTCTTTCTCTCAATATCCCATTAAATGAAGCAACTAACCAAGGTGAATATTTATGTCAGTAGCTTTTTCTTAAGTGAGAATTGAGATGTATTCAGTATCACAAATCTAATACTTGTTTTGTTTGAGAAATCTCAGAAGAATTAGAATCCTTTCACAAACTGAAAGCAGAGAAACTTGCAGAAGGAAAAGAAATGTAAGTTAAGGTACTCAGAAATCTTATTATTTCATTCGTATGTTTCTTTGGGGACTACTGAGCATATTTATTCTGATAGAAATGGTGATGAGATTGTGCGTCCTAGGGTGCCTTTAGAAGCTTGCCTTACAAACTTCTCAGGTCCAGAGGAGATACATGACTTTTACAGTACTGCTTTGAAGGCAAAGACAACTGCACAGAAGTAAGTTTTCTTAAGCTTGTAAATATATTTAATTACGTTGCCGTGCTTGCTGTACCAGATAGAAATTACATAGGCTATATCATGGAAATGAGTTGTTTACTATTAGGCATTATTTTTCCAGGCTAATATAGTTATTAATCCCCTTATTGTTGGAGCATTTGATAATCTTCTTGATGCTGAAACATTTACTCCATAGGACTGCAGGTCTGATCTCGTTTCCTGATTATCTGGTGTTACATATGCGGAGATTTGTTATGGAGACAGGATGGGTACCCAACAAGCTTGGTATGTTGTCTTAATATGCCTATTTACAATAAAAGTACTATTTTTTAAAGAATTTTCTGATTTATATATTTTGTTAAGCATTTTTCTTCTTTCAGATGTGTATATTGATGTTCCTGATATCATAGACATCAGTCATATGCGCAGCAAAGGTCACCAGTCTGGAGAAGAGCTGTTACCAGATGGGGGTACGTGAAAAAATTTTCTGTTGCACTGATATCCTATGTAGTTTCAAGTAGAGAAAAGAGATAATTTATTTCATCGAAATCAGATGTTTTGTGTCAAAACTAAATTCTGTGTTATGGTGCCCACATGTCACTGTTTTATATGTTTAAGGTCCCACTGCTATATCTAGTGATAAATAATATATTATTTGACCAAATTTAATAGTGTCATGTAATTCATATAGTCAAACCTTCCCTAGTGGGATAAGAACTTATCTTCATTGTTGTTGTAAGGTCCCACACTCCCACTGCTATATCATTGATGGAATTTGATGCTCATAGTGATAAGTATCATTTCCCATTGCTGATGATTTTATATATGTGCTTTCAGTCCTCTAAATTGGCTTTTTATTACTCTTTTCTAATCTGTTTTCAACTGATCTTGTTCATTTCTTACATTAATAAATATAGTTGGTCCGTCACATTGTCTCAAGCAGCAATTTTATTCTTGAATGAATACATGTGATGAATCTGATTACACTACCCTTTTTAACTCGCAAATTTTGCTTCTTACTGGTTTTTCAACTTGGTAGCCAACCACACATAGTGGTATAAGGCTTGTTATTATTGTAATATTGATTTTTCAACGTAGTTATATAAAGTTGTCTTTCTCAGTTAAATAATGACAATCAATAACTATTTTAACGGGACTAAATCTGAAAATTATGCGGGTTGCAGTATCTGATGAGGAGGATTCAAACAAAATTTTGCCCAATGAAGAAATTGTCTCACAGCTGGTTTCCATGGGCTTTAATCATCTGCATTGTCAGAAAGCTGCCATAAATACATCAAATGTTGGAGTGGAAGAGGCAATGAATTGGTTACTATCTCACATGGATGATCCAGGTATATGATTTGTTTTTCTTTTTTTTCACCGTGTAAAACAAACTTGTTTGCAAGTTTCCTTATAATGCAGGACTGGTGCTGGTTTTTTATTTTTTTATTTTTTAACTTTTACATAGATATTGACATTCCTATTTCCAAAGGCAATGGCTCTGAAACTTCAACTATTGTTGAACAATCGAAAGTTGACACCCTAATGTCGTTTGGATTTGAAGAAGAAATTGCTAGAAAGGCACTGAAGGCATCGGTAATTTTGTTATATTTTCCCCTCCCTTGTAACTGTAGGATTTAGGTATTTGATAAATTGTGGCGGAATGTTTGACTTTATTGACGGAAGTCACCGTTATGTAGGGTGGTGACATTGAGAAAGCAACAGATTGGATATTTAACAATCTTGATGCATCAGTCTCCAGTATGGATGGTGCCACGTCAAACGCTGCTTCCCCTCCCAGTGATGTTGACCTACCTGATGGTGGCGGGAGTAAGTTGCTTATACTTTCTCTGACGTACCTTGCTGTTGGTTTTATTGATACTTACTCTGAATTGGAAAAAAAAAAAAAAAAAAAAAAAAACGGAAAAGGTTGTATTGTTGTGAATCGTGATCGTTTAATTTTACTTCCCCTTTCACCACACCTGAAAATTTCGTGTCGCATTTTTCCATTTTGCTGCTAAGTGATTACATTTTCTTCCTAGGGCTTATTCCAATTCTTGTTGGGTTGGGTTGGGTTGTGGGCTGTGAAAATTGTTGCATCTTATTGTTTGTTAACAATGTAACAATCTTATTTTCTTTGGCATTCCAGGATATCGCCTTCTTGGTATTGTAAGCCACAGTGGAAGCTCTACGCAGTGTGGTCACTATGTTGCTCACGTTTTAAAAGATGGTAGATGGGTTATTTTCAACGACAACAAGGTTGGGGCTTCCATTAATCCTCCGAAGGAAATGGGCTATCTTTATTTCTTCGAGAGGCTTGATTAAATATAGTGTGTCAGGCGTTGAACAAGGTGAACATTTCAATCATGAAGAGGCGCAGGACGTTTTAGAATGGCACTAACAAGCCACCTACTTCTGCTGACGTGATAATTGCTACCCTTGTCTTATTAGCATGGTGAACAATCCTATAATTGGCTGGATCTTCTTTTCTTGCTTGTCAGCATTAATGAAGCGTTTTGGAACGTTATTTATCATTCATCTTCTAGAAATTGGTTGCATGTTCTTAGGAATTCAGATAACAATAGAGTAACGAATGATCAGTTTTAGGAATTCAAACAGTACAGCAACGAGCGATCAGTTTTGGTGAATGTTATGCAGTTTCAAACAATAGCAAGCGTATTGGTCGCGCCCAATTGTCATATGATCAATCAGTTTTGGTGAATGTTATCAGTTTTTAGAATGCCGTGCTCGCAGCGTGATTTTCGAAACTCAATAGGAATAGAAGAGAAAAAGGCATTGAAAATTTGTGCATTAACTGTTGCAGCTAAGAAATTTACCATCCATACTTCTGCACCACCATTCTCAAAATTTTGTGCAAACAAAATGGCCACCTTTTACGGGGCCACCAATCCATCAATGGCATAAGACAGAGTTTCTGTCCAGTCAGCTTTAAATAGCAGTGTCTGCAAAGCATTCAACACATCATATTCTGGATCAAGTCTTCGCTGCCAACCCTAAAGAGGAGACAGGAACAAATGCATAGAAAAATAAATTCACGTTTTACCAAGACATATCACAGTATTAGTTTGGAGCTCTAAACCTTCAAAATAATACTTAAATATCCGAAAAATAATAACTACTTCATGCCTAGCCCTTTAATTTAAGTTTTTTCAACATGTTTCTAAATACACTAATTGTAGTAGAGCAAGACAAGAGAAAATTTAAAGAAAAATAATTTTTAAAAAAATGCCTTTCTATAAGTTTATTTAATGAATGTTAGTTTCTAACAGAGTTCAAATCCAATGGCATCAATTGATTTCAAGTAGTTAAACCTACCCATAGGATATTGTCTCGCTATTGTTGTATACATCCCAAAATTGAAAACCAATTACTGCCTTTGTTCTCAGGCATAAGAGCATAATTGATTGGTGATTTAAGTTTTTACGGTAGTTTTGATTTTATACAAAAATTATTATAAGAAAAGTAAGCTTAATCATCATAGTTTAGGGACAATCAACAGACTAACTTTCTTAATCAGAAAACTGCAAAGATGGACATAAGGCACAGTATGGTTTACCCCTCAGGCGGTAATAAAAAGTGCATTTCTAAACAAACATTCCACATACTTTTTAGATTTTTAAATACTGTTATTAAAATTTGAAAAGTATATCCTGATGGATCACAAAGGTATTAAAAAAGTGAGATGAATTTCCAACAGTATACTAATAGCAATGCACAAATGCTAAATTACTCATGTTGTCAACATTCATTTCATTCACACAGGTTTCAAGAATACTTTGTAGAAAGTGTTATTCAGAGACAGAGCTTACCTCCAGAACCAGCATGGTCACTATCACAGCACAAACATTGCCATCGATATTGACTTTAGAGCGTCTAACATGCTCAAGCAGTTGTTGCATACGGTCAGCTGTGTGGACAGATTCACCTTCTGGGGACCTCCAAAATTTAAATGATTTGTCCACTTCCTGTTAAAAGCTAAAAGATTTTATTAAGAAAAGAGAAGTGCAGGTTGATGCTGAAATAACAACTTCAAATCATTAGCCAACAGTACAGCAGTTATAGATTCAGATGGAAAAACTATTAACAACAACATACATAATACAATATGGATACAAATGTTTAGAGTCGCAACTGAGGACACAGATTAGGAGTATCAAATTAACATGCACTTTTTAAGTCAAAAGTGGTATGCAATCCCCACAAAAAAAACAGGTTTGACCAAGGTAGCAAGGACACTTGAACTTAATTACTTATCAGAACTTTGTAAACCCCAAATGTGCAAAACTTCAAAGTATCTATCAACTATAGACCTTCAACCCACAACGGGTATCAGAGGTCAAATGAATGACTGTTTTTCAGATATAGTATGGCAAGTGAAGGATAAAATTTGTCACAAATGTGAATGCAAAGCAATATTAATGTGTTAACAAGTTAGCAGGATGCTAACAAAAATCGTATATGAAAAAGCATAAAACAGTGTTTCTTACCTCAATAAAAGATTTTGGGTCTGGGCAATTCTGTTGTTTCGATAATCTAAGTGTGCACTCTGCAGCAGTGCAGCCATCTTGAAGTGCAACAGCCTTTAAGAATTCTAGTAAACCTTCTCGTTCCCTCTTGGAAAGTTCAGTAGTCATACCTACATCAAGGAAAATGACATGAGGCCTTGACTTCAAGAGCCATATGGGTGATGATTTCCTGTTCGCTACACGGACAAGAATATTTCCAGGATGCATGTCTGCATGGAGAAAATTATCCACCTGTAAGAAGAGAAGACATATCCAAGTAAAGGAAATTGATAATTTTACTCAAATGTCTACTTCTATTCATCAGATAACAAATTAGCAATACAAATTGTAACTATAAGGAAAAGGGAAAAACATTTAGGATCTCTATGATGCTCCAATGCATTTAAGAAAAAAACTATCACCAAAACAGTTAACCGTAGATCAAGAATCTCATCTCGCAAAATCTGTAAAGAATTCACCAACATCTATTGATATCAGATGTTAAACTTAGACACTTACACTATTTAATAACTTTTTATAGAATGTAAAATTTACCAAATTGCAACACCGAGTCACCGACCTCTACGAATACATCTGAACAATGAGACATGAAAACATCTACAAATAGAAACCTGGACATCTCGTGCGACTGCGAACAGGCCCAACTCTTTGCCAAACAGAGACTTCCTCTGACTCGTGAAGAGGGAGCCCCACTTCCTCACTTCTTTGACATTGTATGATTTACTATTTGAATATGTTTTATTAACTTTGATATAATGTTTCAGCTTCATTATTATGAGCTTTTTAACATTTTCTCTGTATGAGGTATACTCTTACGAGTTTATGAGCCAAATTTATCAGTCAAGTTTATGAGCACCTTATGAGTTTACTTAAACTCTCAAGTTTAACAACCTTGCTAGTAAGGTTACTTGCAAACAAAGCTGTTTCCGAAGTAATAATCCTCTTCACTCATTTAAAAAACAAATACTCTTTCAAATTTAACACACAAACACATAATCTAAATCAACTAGATTAAATGTTTGGTACTATACCAGTATACCTTATTATCATTCTATATTTTCATGAATTACATAACACCACCAACAGACAACAAAATCTGATAAGTTATTAGGGAAAGGAAAACAATAAATTGCACAGGAGAATTCATAATATTTTACCAGAAGCATCTTTAAAAGAGCATGTGTTCCAATATGAGCTAGAGCACTTTTGAAATCCTCATATCCGTCATGCCGATCAACATAGTGCAAAACACTTTCGCCTTGTTCAAAGGTTTCTACCAAAACAGAAGGGTGCACAAGGGGATACAAAGGCACTGGGAATGAAACATCTTTCCATCTCCGGAAATTATAGATAAAGCGACAAAGATGTGCTGCCTCCCTTGAAAGATCAACTTGAGACATCATAAAGACAGCAAATTGCTGTATGCTTTCATCTAATCTCAACCACTTCAAATTAGGGAATAGAGATGAAATCTTGGCAACAAGATTGATAATGATGAAATCCCTTCTAATTGCTTCAGAAACCCCTGGATGTCGGACCTTCACCGCTACAACAACAGGCTTGATTCGCTGACCAGGGAATTTGTATTTTATTGTAGCTCGATGCACTTGAGCAATGCTACCTGAAGCTACTGGTTCTTCCTCAAAATTTTCAAATATTTCATACAATTTGCGACCAAATGCATTTTCAATACATTTTCTGGTATAACTAAATTTATGTGATGGTGCTTTGGTGTGAAATTCTGCAAGTTCACCACAGAGATCCCTAGGAAAGAGATCTGGTCGAGTTGCAGCCCATTGACCCCATTTAATGAATGCCGGGCCAGCTTTTTCAAGCGTAACGCGGACAACATGAATCCATGTTTTTCTAAATTGAGTGCCAAAAAAGTCAACAAAAGGAGCCATAACTATGCAAGGAGAGAACAAAATCACCAAATAGATAGCCCTGAGAGACAATATAAAAATCTCAAAGGTTGCTAATAGAGCTGAGGTTAAATATACAGGTCCATCTTGTGAATGCACATACAGTGAATCCCTTATTGGGAAAGATTCTGCTTCTGCCACCTTTCCTTGTGTCCAAGCAAGTTCTCTTATTATGAAAGCAATCACACCATGAACAACAAAATTTGATTTGATCATGGCCAAACTTACTGCACGGGCAATTTGACCAATTGGCGGTAGAGCTGGCCCTTTATGGATACACATCCTGTTCCAAACAACTAGGCCATGCTGAAATTTTGCATTATTTGCAGGGAGGAAATGCAAGTTCCTCAACCTGCTACTCATAAAAAAGTTAAACTTTGATTTAAGTAGCATGGATGGAGTTTGTCCTTTGTGTGAACATCTACATAATGAGAAAAGTTTGAATCTTGAGTAAGGGGACTCCACTGGATACAATACTTCCAAGCAGCCCCTCTTGTGAACAGAACGTGTAAGCCTTCTAACATTTCCACAAGCAAGAAGCCTGCACATTACATTGCATAAATATTCTTCACATACTAAACTGAAACATAGCTAAGATACAGAATCTCTCTCTCTCTCTCTCTCTCTCCACATCATCCATCTATGTATATGGAGAGATATAATTTAATTTTGATGCATCGGTAAATGCAACCAATTAGAATATTGATAAATGTGACTATAATTAATTATTATCAGTGTGCACAAAGACAAACTCAACTGTATAAATCAAGTCAAACAAATAAACTATAGAAACCTAAAATTCCAGAAGAAAAAAGAGATTAGCTTTCCTCAGAATGGGAAATTTCTATAGCAGGGTTTATCTGTTGTTCTAGAACCTTTCTATTTACGTCCATGCAAACAAGTATCAAAGAGAAACATAATCCACTTTGAAGTTAAGGCAACACCACTAGGACTGAAGAACCACAAAATTTTTTATTTTTTTTTTAAATAACAAAAACAGCAAATGTCAAACAACAAGAATAAGCCTATTAGCATTAGTATTTGATATGCATTTATGATTTATGAATGCTCCAAATAAGATGAAGGGGTGGGATTATTATGAATTTTACACAATGAATGAAAGCATATGCAGACTTAAGAGTTCAGAGAAAGGTGATATAAAAAAAGCAAAGATGAAGAACCTTGACATGGTGACGTGGATTTCGGGACGGCGAAGTCCAACGTTGCACACAACATCCTCGTCCTCGGGCGGTGAGGCTTACGCGGCACGTGGAGGCGTTGACATGTGTCAGTGTCGGAGCACCGCAGATTCTGAACTCGGTGGCATCTTTCGTGGTGGCTGCGATTCTTTTCATTTTGGACTATTATGGGCCTTTCATTTTCCTATTGGGACTACTTCTACTTTTTGTACATTTGGGCCTTTACTTAATATAAAAAATTTTAAACTAAATTTTAATTGACCAAAAAATGTTTGCTGAATTTAGAAACCAATTTAATTTGATTTCGGGTGCAATTGAAAGAGCTTGTAAGAAATCTATAAAAATAACTTATGAGTTTCATAATTTTTGTTAAAGTTGTTTTAATAAATATTTTGATATAATTTATCAGTTTAACTTTTATTATAAGGATTGAATTAACATGGAAGATTTATATAGTTTGTATGAGCTTTTAAAACTAGTTATTACCATTTATCATTCTGTAATATTTTTATTTCTCAACAATTTTGAATGAGCGAATTTAAAAGTGCACTTAATTTTTAATTTATGTCATATTGGATTTAGCAATTTTTAAAGTATAAAAGTCGTGAAAACTTTTTTTTTATTTTAGTTGTGCATTTGTTGAAATTGAGTATAAGTGTATATTGTTTAAAAGATTAATAATAAAAAATATCAAAAGCTTTCAATAAGCTGAATATTATTTGAAATAACTTTTTATAGGTTAACTTTAAAACGTATAAGTTTCTTTTGTTTTTTTCTTTGTTAAATAGCGCTATTACCTTATTGACAAAAATAATCATAAACATACTCTTAAAATTCATTGAAATAACCATAATTTTACAATCTCTTCCTTTTTCTTTTAAATAATTTTTTTTAAAGATACGTTTAACAAAATATTTGAATGTATGTTTACGTAAACCTATTAAACAAAGACTCGTAAAAAATCGAAACTTTGGTCATCTAGAGCTCGATCATGATTCAAGAAGAGTAGGATGATCAAAGTTAAACCTAGCATTAGGTGTTCTCAAAACAAATAATATCCCCCTAATTGGGTTTTCACATCATTCCAAACAAGCACGTACTTTTAAATCTTAAAGATGATGAATGTGATGCTGATCACTTTTTAGTACATCAAGATTTAGCATGTGATAGCAATAAACTACGGAAATTACCATAAGAATACCCAATTTACTAAAACAATGTTGAATAGCTATACCATTTGATGAATAAGTCAAGGGTTATTTAAGTTGAGCACAAGAGCACGAAAGAAACACCCATCTTTATTTTCCTTTGATTTTCCAAAAATGTAAAGTTTTACTTAACTTAATTATCTCACTCACTATGAACATGGAAAAAAGTTAAAGAGTGAACGAAGCTTCTCTCTCTCCTACACACACACACACACACAAACACACAAAACGTACGCGGCTTTAGGTAATCAGAAATTACTTAATAAAATCCAAAACTGTATACCTTAGAGACGAAGCAACGCTGGGTTGGATTGAAGTATTTTGCATTATTGCATGCAAAATGCCAAAGCGTCATTCTCAACTAATGAGATTGATAGTCAAATTCCATAGACACTTTACTAAAAGTCTTGGGTTGTTATTTACAAGGTTACATCAAATCTAAACTACTCAGTTGCTAAAGTTGGTTAATTAGTATATTTATGGTGGTAGACCTGCCAAGTTGACATCACCCTTTACAGGTGTTTGAAATCGTGATATGATATCAAAATCAACCCTCTTTATTCTAATTATCAATTTAAATCATAAGAATTTATATCAAATTTACTTAACTATGAAACCTTTGACACTATCAACAAAAATTTTGTTTATAAATAATGTTAGTTTAGTTTTTATTAGTATAATTTTTTTAATAAGAATTAAATTGTTAGTATAAATATTGTGAGCCTATACTTAATAATATAGTGTATTATATAAAAATTATGATATAAATGTTAATATATTAAATCTCAATATTATGCATTAGTATAAATAATTAAGGTCTATATTAACAATTCATGTTTTGAAGACCATGACAACATTGATGGTTTTTTTTTTGTTAGTGAATAATTTTTTGGTAATAGTAGAAATATTATTTACAAATTAATCGAATAAATTCTTAATTAATGTAACTTGTATTGATTTATAAAGTATAAATTAATTTATTTTAATTGTGCACTTGCGATAAAATATTTTCTCTATTTATTTATCAATTTAATATAATTAAAATACACTGTATTAATGTAACAATATTTTGCGTTGTCATTCGATCAGAAATTAAATTAATATATAAGTAAAAAAATTGATTTTTAAAATGATTAATAGTAAAATTACACCTATCACATCTTCTAATTAACTTGGAAGTATAAAAATGTTTATATTACAAATACATCAAAATTAAACTTATATTATTATCACTAAACATCTTAATAAAATAAATGTATTATGTAATGAACAAAATATTATAAAATAAGATAAAATTCCCCAACCACAAAAAATAATCATAAATTCAACAGTAAATTTTAAATTAAGTTTTTCAACATGTTCAAATTTTAAAAATAGGAAATTTGTATTAAAAATAAAAATATTTATTATTTAATACATGCCTTTATAATAATTTAAAATATTTAATATTTTTGAACAAGCAACAAGTTAGAAAGATCGTTTATAAATTAATATCCTAAAAGTACATACACCATTTTTTCTGTGATGTTCTTTCCTCTAATATATTGTTTACATTCACTGCCTCGTTTCCTATTATCTTATATATATTGTGTGTGCAAGAAATCGTCACAATTAGCCTCTTCATTCGTAGAGGCAGGGAATTAGCAGCCAATATTGATATATAGAAAACCAACAATCCATTAATGGATGTTATTTGATTCTTTCATTTGCAGAAATTTCAACGTTGATGAATATGAATGTCAAGATGAGTATGTTGAACCCCAGTGATAAATTTAATGCTATTTATTCATCTAATTCACATATTATTATTAAGAATATAACATTTAATTAGATTATTAACATTTGATATACTTTTTTTTTATTAAATTAATCATATATTTCATTTAACAATATAACTTTTAAGACTAATGTGCAATCTATTCAATTTGAAGTAACATTTTTTAGCACTCTCTTCAATACACTTCTTATTATTGATTGTTAAAAAAAAAAGTGATTGATTGATAAGGTGAAATATTCAACTTTTTAAAAAATATAAGAATTAAAAAAATTATTACTAAAATTTATTATTTAATTTTATATATATATATATATATATATATATATATAGATTAAGTGTAAGAGTTTTTAAACTTGTACTAATATAAAAAAATCCTAACCTCTGTATATATATATATAGATATATCACTATCTATTATTAGTTATCAACACTTATATTGAATAATTTCTTTGTAAAACATTATTATTTATTTTTGAATAATCAATAATCATTACTAAAACTTTATTAAGAACAATTTTAATTACTATATATAATCAAATCATCTTTTTCTTAATTAAAATTTTAATAATAATTTCAACATAAAAAATTAGCAATACTTTTATTTTTTAATTAACCATTATTTTTAATAATGTTTGTCATTAATTATATTTACTATTTTATATATTAAAATCGAGTCTTCATTCTTAAAATAGGAGGATTTTTATGAATTATCATAAATGATATTTTGCGTTATTAATTCTGTTTTAATTCAATCTTAATATACATGCTAAGTCTTAATTTATGTTTAAAAAATGGAACATAAATGTGGCTGAAGCAGAATAGCGGCCATTGCAAGCGCGTTCTTTTTCACTGGACAAATACGTGTGGCCCCCAACTTTACATTTCCCTTACAAATTTTTAATTAAAAATATCATTAATATAATTTCTAAAAAAAAAAAAAAGAGCTTGGAAATTTCCTCGTCACGGTGATTCCGTGGAGCAGCGGGGCCCACGAATCATGAGGGAGGCGTGACGTGGCAAAACATAGCAGGGATTTCATGACTTGGTCTTCTCACATTCAACAGAAAGGTTGAGGAATGAGGAGTGGTGACCCCACTCAATCCCCAACTCTATATAATCAAATAAATCTTTCTCTTCTTCTCATATCATATCATATCATATCGCGCATTTCCTCAGTTATTTTCGAAGGAATCCACCGTTGCTTCACCAACTAAACTAAGCACTGTTTGTTTGGATCATTCTCAATATCTTCCCTCAAAAACCATTACGCAAATACCGTTTCGGTAAAGCATCTTTCTTTTCCTTTTCCCTTTTCTAATTCTCTTTGCAGCACTGCACGTCGTCGTGTGATTCCTGTTTGCACTGTTTTGCGAATCTGGTTCTGTCAATGATGGAAGCTGTGTTTTCTGTTTTGTACTCTTTTTGCTGTTAGAAAGGTCTTCTCTTTCGCTTTGTTAGCTTCTTTTTTTTTTTTTTTTTTGAAGTTGGTGGAAAGTGTAAAACGGCCATAACAAACAACACGCGTAACTAACTTTCGTGTTGTTCAAGCAATATGTTGGCCAGACATTGCAAGGGTTCGATTTTTCGTTCCCTTGTTAGGAGGTGGTGGTGGATCGTCATTACCATGTTTTTGTTTGATTTTTCTTTTAATTTAACTTTTTTTATGATTTTTCTATTGTGGGTGTGAGGACATGCGAAAAGAAATTCATGGACAGTAAATTTTTATTTAAAAAACATATAGTATTTAATGTTATTAATATTGATATACATAATAAAAAATCTGTTTTCTTAATTATTATTTCAACGGTGTGCTGCCAGGAAGCTTATTGATGTTTTTAACTTGAATTTGATTTTTTGTTTTGATAAAAATATGCAGTTGTGAAATGGAAATGGAAATGGAAATGGATGATGGTAACTATATTAGAACATTGGAGGAGTTCTGTATTCCGAATTACATATTAGTCGCAGGGTCTGAGGTAAGAAGTGTTTCGCATGTACCAGCGTGTCCTGTTATTGTTTTCATAAACACCAAAAGTGGTGGTCAACTTGGAGCGGAACTTCTTGTTACCTATAGTTCACTTCTTAACAAAAACCAGGTACATGTTTTTTCATTTTTGCAAGTGGTTCATATTATTTGAAATTGTTATGAGATGGAATGAGACAAGCTGTTTGATGATGCTAAGGAAATTTATTTACCAGGTTTTTGATTTGGGAAAAGATGCTCCAGATAAGGTGCTGCATAGGCTTTATGCTAATTTGGAGATGCTAAAGTACAATGAAGATAATTTCGCGGCTGAAATTCAGAACAGATTGAGAATAATTGTAAGTTGATTGCTTTGCTTTGCTATGCTTTCAAATTCTGATGTCCTTGAAGCATGGAAGCAGATTCATGTTGCAATGTTTTTTTTTATTCTTGATTCCTAATGGATTACTGAAAATCAGGTTGCGGGTGGAGATGGCACTGCAAGCTGGCTTCTTGGAGTAATATCTGACCTTAGATTACCTCAGCCACCACCGATTGCGACGGTGCCGTTGGGGACGGGAAATAATCTCCCTTTTGCATTTGGATGGGTATTTTATTTTTCTGTTTACTCAATCTGGTTGACTTAATAATTTCATGATTTCAATAATTCATAGATTTGAACATTTCTTTATCTTATTGTAATCACTTGGATCAGTGATCATTCTGTTTACATTTTCTGGAATAAACCATAGTACCATACGTATCAAATTGTTATCCAAATGATGAATTGCGACTCTAATTCTTGAATTGTGAATTGGACAATTTTGATTACCATGGTGCAAACTATGCCTGGTTGTTTTTTCTTGGATATTTTGCAACTTTTACCAATTATCAATTTATTGCATGCGGATGTGGATGTTCTGAAAATGTTGAGAAAATGTTAAGCTCATATATCAGGTTAGGAGTGATGTTCCTTTTTAGTTATGGTCAGATGTAAGGTTTTGTTCTGTGCTGGAATTAGTGTGAGTTATGTATGTAGTTAAAATGATATTTTCATTCACAGGGAAAGAAAAATCCGGCAACAGATCTTCAGTCAGTGATGTCATTCCTAAATGAAGTAAGAGCCGCAAGGGAAATGAAAATAGATAGGTATTTACTCATTTTATTAATTTGAATTTTCATATTAGTGAAACCTCATACAAAAATGTGAACAAAATTCAATATATTACTGTAAAGACATCAGGGGACTTTGGTTTAACTGTACACAAATGTGATGGGAACAAAAGTTGCATCTACATTGTAAGAAGTGTGTGTGAGACTTGTGAGAGACAATTATATATTTGATGATAGGCTTCCAGTATTTTAACATGGGTTGTTTTGGTTGCATTTGTATAGGGTTGGTTTTTCTTTTTATATTTATGATATTTTCCTTCCTGTCCTCTTTTATTTTACTATACCCATTTGTCATTTAGGTTCCAAGATCTGATGTACGTTAAAAACAAATATAGGATTTTTGGCCTTCAGTAGCATTCTTGATTTCTTTTGGAATAACTGAGGACTGGACAGGATACTTTATCATGTGACATGTGGATAAGAGGCATCATCATGTGTTAGGTTTGTCATGCATTTTGTTTTGTTTTTAAGTACATTACATCATGTACTGAGTTTGTTATGCCATTAGTTTACTTTTTGATGTTAACCATCTTTGGTTTTCGAGATTTTAGCGAGGTCAATTTCATATCTACTAACCTTGTTGCCCAATCAAATATATACCCATGGTTTTGTATGATTTGCTAGTGTGGAAATTGGATGTCGGCTACTCTGATTTCCGCTATATCCAGCATTTCCAAATAGGAACTTGATGCATGTACAAAATGATGAACAAAACATAGTTAGCATCTTTTGTTGGTTATTTTTTGCCACTGATAAATTTCTTTGACTGTGCTTTAATTATATTTCTAAACGATCATATTTTGTTCAGCTGGCATATTATAATGAGAATGAAGGCTCCAAAAGAGGGTTCATGTGACCCTATTGCACCCCTTGAGCTGCCTCATGCTATGCATGCATTTCATCGTGTCTCTTCAACAGATAAACTAAACATGGTGAGTTTTATACTTTTTTTTTGTAACTTTTGACGCATGTGCATAATTATTTGTGCCAATAAATTTATGTTCAGGAAATTATTGCTGTTGTAAGCTTATAATTTGATGAAAATTAGTTAGTTTGCTATAATTAATTTCAGATAACTTCTGTTTTCAAAAATATTATTGAAAACTCTGGTCTCTGTCAGGAATATGACTTCTGATTGGACACCACAAAATCTTATGTATGGTAGACATTCATAGAAATTAAAGTATTATAGAAGACAATTAGAAAAGCTACTATGGTAGACAGAGGATCAATTTGGATCAACTTCCTAATAAGTACTTGTAGGAAAAAAAAATAAAAGAGATTACTTGGTAATCAAATGAATATGAAATAGGAAACCTAAATTTCAATGGCATAGGAATAGCAAAAGTGATTCAAAACAGAATCAAGCAATTGCAGTGCTAAGCTTTTATTTCTTTAGCATTTCCTGTCTACAAGTCCTTGATATTTCCATTTACTTCAAATTCTATACATGCTTTATCAGTGAATTGTTCTGTTGACAGGAGGGTTACCACACTTACCGTGGGGGATTTTGGAACTACTTTAGCATGGGTAAGAAAATCAAACTTGTCTTGATCATTTGGGTTGATGGCAAGTGCATTTCTGAAATTTTGATACTGTGTGTATTGGAAATTTTTTTACCTTGAGCTGCTGAAGTTGGGTAACACAGTATTGGCCCGGGGCAACATGAATTTTGGGGATGAAGGCTTAAATACAAATTTTAAAGCTATTAGATTAGTGCAACTAGCCAGTATGCCATAAAAACTTGTATTCATTCTATTGCAGGAATGGATGCTCAAGTATCCTATGCATTTCATTCTGAGAGGAAGTTACATCCAGAAAAGTTTAAAAATCAGTTATATAATCAGGTACCAAATTCCTCACATATAACATATTTCATTAATTTTATTGCTTTTAGTTTTATATCCATATAGCTGTACAAGATATTTGGAAGTTATAGTCAACAAAGCACAAAATAGCTATAGATGATTATAGCAAATTTTCTATTCATGAATAAAATTTAATATCTTTCTGTTTGCTATGTATTTTCCAAATTATTTGAGCATTTGTTATCTGATGGCCATGGACAAAATATTGTGTGTCTGAACTTATTTTAAATGTTCAGTTGTTACCATTTACTTCTAGTTTTAATGTCCTGGAATTTATTTATTCAAGACAAATTCCAATTATCAAGTCACTCAACAATTTGTGGATTTTTATTAACTAGTTACTTATCATTTGATCAATTCCATATATCATTAGATTTTGAAGCTATATGAGGTATGTTTGGTGTACACTATTGTCAATAATTGACCCTCTCATTATGCTTTTTTCTGGTAACCAGAGTGCCTATATGAAGCATGTATGTACACAAGGATGGTTCTTTGCTTCTCTGCATCAATCTTCTTCACGGTTAGTTATCAAAGAGGCACCAATTTGTATTACTTTTGAGTTCATTCTGGAAGAAATTATTACAATTTATTAATATGAGAAGCATTTAATAATAACATTTAACAAAGTGATTACATCTATTTTTCTTGTTCCTAAACAGTTCTATTGCTAAAGCTGAGGTGTGTTTGGTGTAAAAGACTTGGCTTTTGTTCACATGCTTTTATTTTCTTTGATAAGCTGTTCAGTTGCTGTGTATTGGCAGCCCTTGCTTAGTCACTTGCCACTGTTATGAAAGATACAGTGAGCAAAATGAATTTTAAGAAAATGATAGAGTTGATCCAGCATGAAATTTCCTCTTTGTTTATTCATCTAAATTTTCTGTATCAGATGAAGTCAGGTATAGCATATAAGAAAACGAAGACAGTGCTTAAGTTACAAACATTACCTCATATTTACTTAATAGTTATGATTCTTTGATACTAAGCTGAAACAGGAATAACTATCAATGATATTATGATTTAATGGTGACACTGCTTATAATATCTTGAGTCAAGATGAAGTCATAAATGAAGAAATGCTAGTTTCTGTTGGGATATTTCTGGTTTCCTGTTTTTTTTTATTTTTTATTCTGAATTATGTGGTGTTGAGTTTAGAATTTGCCATCTGTCATGGTAGTCTAATTCAGAATATTTAAATTTTGACACAGGAATATTGCTCAGCTGACAAAGGTTAAGATAATGAAAAAGCAAGGTCACTGGGAAGATCTCCACATACCTCGGAGGTAACGCTTTCAAATATGGATTTATGGATTATCGCAGCGTATATTTTTATAAAACATTTTGCATTTGTCTGAATTCAATAAATCTATCGTATACTAAAAACATTAATGAAACTTAATGGTACTTTAATGGACATCCAATATCTTGATGAGTTAACATCTTCTAGTATTCTCTTTTTTTGAATCAATTTATTTCAATTATGTAATTAGGCTTCCCATGAGATTTTATACATTATCAAACTACAATTTTTTTCTTTGGTTCTCTAGTGAGATTTACTAGTGATAGATATGAATTTTTTATTGTTTTTGAGCATTTTGTTGGCAGTTGAGTTTAAAGATATTTATAGGATGTCTTGATAAAAAAAAAAAGCAATATAAGATATAGGAATGATGCAAAAGAAGAAAGTAAATGGGACCTATTACCCGGCTATAATTTTATGGAGCTTCATACTAACTCAAACGTTTAATATTTATATACAGCATACGATCAATAGTTTGCCTCAATTTGCCCAGCTTTTCTGGTGGACTCAATCCTTGGGGAAAACCAAACAGAAAGAAATCAATTTATGTAAGTGCCAAATTTCGTATCACTCTTTTCTCAATGTTTCATGTATCTTTTGCTGCACATATTTGTTAAGAACTTTGGCAGATTTATGTGGGGAATTTGATTGGATATTTATCTAATTTTGCCTGTCAGAGAGACCTGACTGTTCCCTATGTGGATGATGGCCTATTTGAGGTAGTCGGTTTTAGAGATGCTTGGCATGGTCTTGTTTTGTTTGCACCAAATGGACACGGCACTCGTTTGGCACAGGTAAGACTTCTCGGTTTTATCATCATAACAATATTCTATGTTGATCCCTATATTTTTACGAGCTTTTAGTTTTAGTATGTTTTTCTTCTCTTAAGTTTTACCCCTTAATTTTTCTGAAGGCAACACTTTGAGTCCTTAATGACCAATTACCATTGAATAATGAAATGGCTAATGAAGAAACTGCCACACGTCAATTATTTGTGTGAAAATGTCAACTAGAGGGACCAAAACACTTTAGTTGGACAAATATAAAGATCTAAAGCATAAAAACAAATGAAAAATTCGTTAAAATATAAAAAAATAAAAACATTTTAATTTTTTTAATATATATATAGAGAGAGAGGGAAAATGCATCTAATGAGAGTCTCATTTGTTATAAGAGTGAGAGATAAATTTGAAATGTATAACTATACATGAATGGTTAAGTTATTGGAAGTTACATAATCACTTAAAAAAATCATGTGATCAATGATAAAAAAATGTAGAACCAATGATATAATCATTTTTGTTTCTCTCTCTCTTTTATTTTGGTTGAAACTTATTTTTCTATGCTGCTATCACCATGCAGACAAGCAGAATCCGTTTTGAGTTTCATAAGGGTGCAGCTGACTCTACATTCATGAGAATTGACGGAGAGCCATGGAAACAACCCCTTCCAAAAGATGATGACACAGTTGTTGTTGAGATATCGCACCATGGTCAAGTTAACATGCTTGCCACCCCATTGTGCCGTTCTAAAAGTATGCATGATCCCTCCTCACCCATGGTAAACCAGGAAGAAGATGATAGTAATGATGAAGAATCACAAGAAGATTGTGAAGAAAGACGCAAATTTGGTGCAGCTGACACATTCAAATATTCTGGTGAAATTGATATAGCTCGTATAAGTTAGTGTAAAGAGAGCAGTAGCATTGCTCAGTGTTGGGTTGTACAAAGGCAATTATGGTAGAAATGAAAGGGTGGGAATGTAATTATCTTCTATGTATATCATTTTTCTTAATTGTTTTTTAGGGTCCAGGCCTTTTGGGTTGTTTTTACATTTCTTCAACTAAATTTCATGATCATAGTGATGTTTGTAAAATTAAACATTTGTGGATACTTTGACATTCAAATTGAATAGACTCTAATATTTTATTAAAAATTGTTCAAGTGTTATAAAGAATGTTTTACCCATATTTTTAATTAATTTAAATATTTTAACATTGTCCAAAGTGTGTGATCCGTTAGGCATTGGGTGTGTAACAAACAATTATTAAAAAACAAAATTTTGGGCACAAGATATTAGCTTCTTGGCACATGGTTAAAAAATGCAAAACATCGTAAAATATTAGTACTTTGCATTCGTCTGCATCACCGATTCACCATAACCCTTTTTAACCGTACTGAATCTTGATCCATTTCTTTTGCTAAAGTTGGGCAAAATTACCTCCCTTCTTATTTATCAATTTGGAGAGAGGAAAACAAAAAGAAATTCTTATTTTTTTTCATTAAATATCTTTTTGTCCATATAAAATATTTATATTATTTGAGTACTTCAAAAGAAAAAAAATTCATCAATAAAGAATTAATTAGAAAATTTAGTAATTAAATTTAAAAAATGATTGAATTTCTTAATGTATATAATTTTTTGACATAAATAAAAACGAAAGAATATAAATTAAACAATATCTTTAAACAAAAAAAAAAATGTTATTTGTTCTTTCACACACACACACAGAGATATATATATATATATATATATATATATATATATATATATATATATATGAAAAAAAGATATAAGGAAAAAAGTAAGAATAAAATAGTTGAATAGGATGTTAATTTTTAATCGTTCAAATACTAAAATTGAAAAAAAAATTGGGATGGAACATGCAAGGACAAAGCAGTAGGGAAAGTTGACATCGCAACAAGCTAGCAGGTGCAAGCAATTAAATCTGAGAAATCGAATAAAACTAACAGCAATTAGATAGAAGACAACGGATTCAATATTAGTGTCAATCTCCAAATGCAATCAATAAAATTGTGTACCCCACAACTTTAAACTTCTCTCTTCATCTCCTATTTATAGAATCAGAACACAATCTGTACACAGCCTAAACAAACAACAATGCAACCGGAAAATGATAATAGCAACCATAACAAATAAAACTAACGAATCAATATCAACATCATATATCATCCGGCAGCTGAAAACTCTCTGAACCAAAAATCTGGTGCGAACTGCTCTGAACAAAGACAGCCAAACCACATTTGCTGCCGTTGAATCCTTCCCACAACGAAAAATTAACCGTTCCTGACACTGTTTTCTTGGCAGAGATGTCTTTGACAGTGCAGAGCTTTTCGAACTTTCTAACGACGTAATCATTGGACAGAACACGCCCTTTGTTCTCCCCTCTTGGACAGTCGGTAACCAAACCACTTTCATATAACGCTACCATGACATTGGCGCCATCACTGTCCACCTTAGTCCTCAATGCTCCTGTTAGAGACACTTGCAATGAATCTGGTGCAGGCCTGGTGAATGTTGCCTGATAGAAATACAATTTGCTTAATTAACAATACTGGATTTTGAAAAGAAAAAACGACAAACAACAAACAAATACACAAAGTTCTTGCATATTTATGAATATACTCTTTCATAGACATGACATTCTTTGCATGATTGGTTGGCATGTTTCATCACTCAATGGTACAACCAGAAACAAGCAAATGTATGAAATCCAACTCTCATCTTATTCTTTCCTGTTCTGTCAAGTCCACCAAATAGACCCTAAAAGTTACAGATTTTTGTTGGTAGATTTTAAGGGGTGTGTGTGTGTGTGTGTGTGTGTGTGTGTGTGAAACAGTTATTTATTTGACAAGCGTGTATGAAACAGTTAGTTATGGGGTTGGTTTCAGAGGATGCCTTTGATGCAACTCTTACTTGTGTTAGGTGTGCAATTGATCTCACTTGGTGTTGGGTGGGATGAGAGCATTGTGATTGAAAATCACACGTCAACATCTGTTTTGGATCTACCTGATAGTATTCTAATTTACTTCAGTTTGAAGTGATGTTGTTGTGGCGGCTTTTAAGCAACATTTGTTATTTTCTTGAGGAATGCCTTAGATTTTAATCATCTATTATCATTAGAATAAGCATTTCTTGAAATGGTAAATGTAAATTTTAGACACTTCAATATTAAACATTTGGCACCTAAAAAATTCACTGGCTTATGCTAATCAACAATAAAGAAAAGTACATGAACAAAATTTTAAAATACAACTGACTAATAATAAAGCTAGGAGTTCCATGTCCCACGAATCTTTCTTCCTTGTGTTTTTGGCCAAACTGATTTTCCTACCTACCAAATCTGGCCTTCCAAATTAAAACCAATTTACTTTCTGTTTAAACAGCCTCATCAAAATAAAAAGTAGACATAGGTGTAAAGCATAGACATCCATATTCGCAAAACAATTGGTTCTCTCAGAGCATATAACAACATTAATTATTGTCCCTTCATAAACCTCAACATAAAAAAAATCCATTATAACTAATAGTATTAAATCAAGCATAGATCTATAATAATTTAAACATAAAATCTTGTTTAAATTCAAATACGCATTAAGTTAATTGTAAGTAAACTTCACTAGGAAATGCCTTAAAAAGTTCAAATAATACTTTAAGAAAAGAGAGAGCAACGCTAACCTGGAAGGTTGGAGCAGGGAATCTAGGAGCGTCAGTGATGGCATTGATAAGGGCGTTCTCGTCATTTCCAACACAATGGGCCTTACCTTGGACCACAACCTGGGGCGTGAAAATGGTGTCAAGCCCAAGAGACTCAACATAGGCCTTCTGTCTAACGGTCCATTGGCTCGACCCAAAAGGGTCCTTCCATCCCATATAGTCCCAATAGTCCACGTGGAAGGCCAACACCACCACCGGAACCTCAAGTTTGAAGTCACCTCTTCCAAGCCGCGACAGCACCAGCTCTGCCGCCGGCGACGTCGTGCACCCCTGCGACGAGAACATCTCCACCACCACCGCGCCACCGCGCTTCATTTCCTCCGCCGTGAGATCAGCCGTGACGTGGCGCTCGACGGCGTCGCCGCGATTGCCCTTGCTGCCGAAGCAGGACCAGAGACGCGGCGCCATCGCCTTTGCCGATCAACGGTGGCGACTGGGTGTGAAATGAGTAGTTTTGGATTGTTAGATGCAAAGAAAGGAAATTTTGAGAAAGAAAGGGAAAAGAATAAAGAGAAAGAAAGTGTTGTAGTGTTAATAAGGGAATGGGAATGGTAATAGCGATGGAGGGTGAAGAAAGAAAGGTGGCGAAGAAGATGCGTAGTGTTAATAAGAAGAGCAATGGGGTTTTGATTTTTTAATATTCAATGTTTTGTAGTTGTTTCATGGAAAATATATCTACTATTATTGGACAACAATTATTTTCTTTTATATTTATTTTTTATTATCATACAGTATAAACTTAATTTTTATGTTTTTAAATATAATCTTTATTTTTGATATACTATTATTTAGACCATGTATGATAAAAAATAACAAGTTTTACATTTTACAATTTGTTTATTATATTATATGGTTTTATATTTTGAATTGTAAAAAGATTACAGGATTAGGTGACATAGGTTACGTTATGAACACGGTTGTGTCGGTGGCATGCACGTTGGGTGGTCAATGTTACATTTGGGTGGTACTTTGTATTAAATAATAATATTATATGGTGATAACAGGTGTCACAGATCACCAACTCAACAACGAATCCAACACCAATGGCGGGTGTTGCAAGGAATCTGTATTAATGAAAGTGTATAAAAGTATAAGGAACACAAACTTGTCCCTTTTATGGTGGGTGGGGATTGCAACTTGCAACCTCTAGGATCTCACAACACTTTCGTATTTGTTTTTAATTTGAATAAAATTACTCACAATTACGTGCCCATTGCTTTAATTTGATATATATCTTATCTTAGTATATATCATTAAGGAGCCAACAGAAAACAATGCTTTGTTATCAATGAATGCTACTTCAATTTGGAAATAAACTTTTTTCATCTTTCTCTCCTTAGTAACATGTGTGGATTAACGCTTCATTTGCATTCACATGATTTTAAAAGATTCAAAATTAATCTTTACCTACTGTTTATAACTGAAACAAATTTGACGAACAATTTTGTGCAAAACTTTTGTTGAGAAAATTACGCCGAATTTTTTTGTAATGTCAGATTTGTGGAAGTGAAAAATAAATGTGGAATATTGCACACACAAAATTGATAACGGAGTTCGGCCAATAATACCTACGTCTCCGGACTGCTGCAGATATATTACTGAAAAGGGAATACACTTAGTGTTTACAAAACACTCAAAAATGACTCACAACCATTCACAACCCGTAACCCAATTGTACCAGAAGCTAAACTATTTTCTCTATTTTTGCTCTCTGAATATTTTCAGTTGTTCTCTCAGAAATGAGATGCATAGAATGGATGGAAGAGCTTCGTATTTATAGGCAAATGAAACGTTTGATTTTCAAAACGCGTTAGGCACTGAATTTCAAAACGCGTTAGGCACCGAAATTGTACGCATTTTTCTTTGTCATGCGCCCTTTTTCTTTGACTTTTCAACAATCTCCCACTTGAAGACTGATTTCAATCTGTCTTCACACCTCAATCAATGCAGCAGTCTTTTCTGGTCTGTTATTCTAGCAGGCCAACTGAAGTTGAACACAACTTCAGTTTGTCAATGATCACCACCTTTGTTAGCATGTCTGCTGTGTTCTTGCTTCCTACAATCTTTTTCAATGTCAACACCTCATCCTCAAGCAGAGATCTGATGAAGTGATAACGTATATCAATGTGCTTGGTTTTAGAGTGAAATGCTGAATTTTTTTGCCAGATGTATTGCACTCTGACTGTCACTGTGCAAAACACTCCTCTCTTGGATGAATCTCAGCTCTGTTAACAAACCTTGAAGTCATATCAACTCTTTACTAGCTTCTGTTACTGCTACATACTCAGCTTTTGTAGTGGATAAAGCAACAATCTTCTGTATCCGCGACATCCAACTGACAGCTGTAGTACCAACAGTAAAAATGTAACCGGTGGTACTTCTTCGGTGATCGACTTCACCTCCGAAGTCTGCATCTACATAGCCTTGTACTTTTAATTCTCCTTTTTCAAAGTACAAACACTTCTTTGTTGTGCCTCGTAGATACCTCAAAATCCACTTGACTGTTTCCCAATGAGCTTTTCCTAGATTTGCCATAAACCTGCTTACAACTCCTACTGCATGGCCAATGTCTGGCCTAGTACGTATCATTGCGTACATCAAACTTCCAATGGCTGAAGCATATGGAATCTTAGCCATGAAGTTTCTTTCTTCCTCCGTCTGAGGGGACTGATCCTTGGATAGGAAAAAGTGACTGGCCAAAGGTGTGCTAACTGGCTTGGCCTTGCCCATGTTGAATCTTTGTAAAACACGATTGATGTACTCCGCCTGAGATAACTGCAAAACTCCTTTTTGCTTATCTCTCGTGATTTGCATTCCAAGAATCTTCTTTGCTGGGCCTAAGTCCTTCATGTCAAATTCTTTTGACAACTGCATCTTTAAATTTCTGATGTCTTTCATATCTGATCCTGCTACTAACATGTCATCAACATAAAGTAGCAATATGATATAGCTGGACTTATACCTCTTGAAGAAACAACAGTGATCAGCATTGCACTTCTGGAAACCTTCCTTGTACATAAAGCTTTTGAACTTCCTATACCACTGTCTAGGAGCTTGTTTCAGGCCGTACAAGCTCTTTTTCAATTTGCACACCATATCCTTCTTTTCTTCTGAAAAACCTTCAGGTTGGTGCATGTAGATCTCCTCATCTAAGTCTCCATGAAGAAATGCAGTCTTCACGTCCAATTGCTCAAGATAGAGCTCTTCACTAGCCACAATACTTAAGACAGACCTGATAGTATTGAGCTTTACAACTGGAGCAAAGATTTCAGTGTAGTCAACTCCTTCTTTTTGCTGAAATCCTTTGACAACTAGTCGGGCTTTGTATCTTTTGGAGCCATCATGGTCCTCCTTCACCCGATACACCCATTTGTTGTGAAGTGCCTTCTTTCCCATAGGTAACTCAGCTAGTTCCCATGTCTGGTTGGAGATCAAAGACTTCATCTTGTCTTTCATAGCAAGCTCCCACTTATTGGCATCTATAGTCTGACATGCTTCTACATAATCTTCAGGCTCTCCTCCATCAGTCAACAACATGTAATCCATATATCTCCTGTTAGGCACATGAGGTCGAGAAGACCTTCTCAATACAGGAGTTGAAATAAGAGCCTCTGATGTGTCAGACTGCTGCTCACTGTTCTCTTCAGTTGATTCCTCTGACTGAGGATTCTCAACTATAGGATTTTCTAGGACATCATCCACTTCTGCATACACTGGCTCAATCTGTTCTGCATTGTTGGCGCTTATGCTATGCTTGTCCTTGTACATCACTCTTTCATTGAAGATTGCATCTCTGCTGCGGATCATCTTTCTGTTTTCATCATCCTATAGGCGGTAGCCAAACTCATCTTCACCATAACCGATGAAAGTGCACTTCTTTGATTTGGGATCAAGCTTACTCCTGCCTTGATCATTAATGTGCACATATGCTACACAGCCAAAAACTCTAAGATGTGAGAGTTTTACCTCTTTTCCACTCCATACCTCTTCTGGTATTTTGTGCTCCAATGGTACCGATGGACCTCGGTTGATCAAGTAAGCTGCTGTGTTGACTGCTTCTGCCCAGAACTGCTTTGGTAAGCCTGACTGCACACGCAAGCTTCTGGCTCTTTCAGTCAACGTTCGATTCATACGCTCAGCTACACCATTGTGTTGAGGCGTACCTGGCACGGTCCTCTCCATTCTGAACCCGTGCTCATAGCAAAACTTCTTGAATCTGGTGTCTTCATATTCACCACCATTGTCGGTTCTGATCTTTTTAATCTTCAATCCTGTTTCATTTCCAACCATGGCTTTCCACATCTTGAAAGCCTCAAATACTTCAGACTTATATTTCAGAAAGTATACCCATACCTTTCTGGAGTGATCATCGATAAAAGTCACAAAGTATTGCTTTCCACTAATGGATGGAACAGATGTTGGACCCCAAACATCAGAGTGAACAAGCTCGAGTCTTTCCTTCTTTGGGGTTCTTCCACTTGTCTGAAAGCTGACTTGTTTTTGTTTTCCAAGTATACAGTCTTCACACATGTCAATTTCTACTGACTGAAGACCTGGTAGCTTACCGTTTGAGTGCATGATTTTCATCCCTTTCTCACTCATATGGCCTAGTCTCTGGTGCCATAGATTGGGATTTTCATATGCTGCAACTGCAATCAGATGACATGCTCCTGCTGTCTTATAAAGAGTACCACTCTTTTTGCCACGAGCAATTACCATTGCACCCTTTGAAATCTTCCAATTATCACCGTGGAAGACTGTTGTGTAACCTTCACTGGCCAATTGGCTTACTGAGATTAAGTTTTTCGTTAGGTCGGGAATATGTCTGACATTTTTCAATTCCCATACAGACCCATTCAACTTAATCTTCACTATACATTTGCCCACAATCTCACATGATTGGTCATTACCAAGATAAACTTTACCAAGGTTTCCAAGAACATAGTTCTTGAAGAATTCTCTCTGCGAAGTGGCATGAAAAGATGCTCCAGAGTCTAACACCCAAGACTCTTCCTTGCTCTCTAAAGAACATATCAACGCATCATCTCTTCCAGGTGGAAGCAACATTTGCCTCGTCTTTCGCCTCCTGAGTCTTCGGTGCACTCCTGCACTGATTTTTGTAGTGTCCTGTCTTCCCGCAATTCCAACACTCAATAGTCTTAGAGTTGTTGGAGCTATGATGATTTCTGGACTTGGAACGCCTCACCTTTGATTTACTGCGTCCTCTTCCTCTGGTTGAACTTCTGCCTCTTGACTCTATATGCAATACTGAAGAGGTTGATGATTCACCCGACTCTCTACGCCGGATTTCTTCACTGAGAACCAAATCACGAACATCATCAAATTTCAACTTATTGTTTCCCGATGAGCTACTCACAGCTGTGACAGTAGCATTCCAACTCTCAGGCAAGGGAGATAAGAGAATTAAAGCCCGTACTTCATCATCAAAATCGATTCCAACTTAACTCAATTGGGTTGTGACAGTGTTGAGTTCGTTTAGATGTTGCGCCGTTGAGGCGCCTTCTGCCATCCGTAAGTTGAACAACCGCCTCATCAAATGAACTTTGTTTGAGACTGACGGCTTTTCGTACATGCTTTCAAGAGCCTTCATAAGATCCACCGTAGTCTTTTCTTTTACTATATTGAAAGCAACATTACGGGATAATGTTAATCGGATGACTCCAAGAGCTTTTCTGTCCAGAAGTTTCCAGTCTTCTTCCTTCATAGACTCTGGTTTCTTGCCTGTGAGAGGTTCATGCATGCCTTTCTGATACAAATAGTCCTCTATTTGCATCTTTCAAAAGCCAAAGTCTGTACCATCAAACTTTTCAATTTTCACCTTTCCTTCATCTGCGTCCATCACTCCCACTCAAATCTGACTTCTTCTCAGAATCGTTTCTGACAATTTCTGTATACCACTATGTTTAGAACACGTCTGTGAACAAATTTGTAATGCTGACAAATTTTTCACTATTCACTATTCACCATTCACTATTCACATGAACAGTACTTGCGAGTTTACTATTCGTGTGAACGGTTGATTGCAGAATTTTACTATTCACATGAACAGTACCTCACAAAAATTGCAGAAATTTTGAACCAGCTCTGATACCAGTTGTTGAGAAAATTACGCCGAATTTTCTTGTAATGTCAGATTTGTGGAAGTGAAAAATAAATGTGGAATATTGCACACACAAAATTGATAACGGAGTTCGGCCAATAATGCCTACGTCTCCGGACTGCTGCAGATATATTACTGAAAAGGGAATACACTCAGTGTTTACAAAACACTCAAAAATGACTCACAACCATTCACAACCCGTAACCCAAATGTACCAGAAGCTAAACTATTTTCTCTATTTTTGCTCTCTGAATATTTTCAGTTGTTCTCTCAGAAATGAGATGCATAAAATGAATGGAAGAGTTTCGTATTTATAAGCAAATGAAACGTTTGATTTTTAAAACACGTTAGGCACCGAAATTATACGCATTTTTCTTTGTCATGTGCCCTTTTTCTTTGACTTTTCAACAACTTTTTCTCTTCCTTTTGGACAACTCGAAGGAGAATACCAAAATCGGGGAGTGAGGTTCCTCAGGATATGATTTTGTAGTAAAACGAGGGGGGGAAAGGGAGCGTTAAAGTTGGGGCAATGTTTTATTTTTAATATTTAATAGCATATTATATACTATAAAAGATATTGCAAACTAATATTTTTTATAAAAAGATACTGCTTTTATGAATATTATAACTATTTTTTTTATTTTTTTACTTATTTACATAAGTAAAAGATATTGTTTATTTATTTTTCTCTTATTTTTTTCAATTTCAATAATAAAACCCTTTTAAACAAAAGGAAAAATTATTAAAATCAACACGAAAATTTTTGCATGGTTTCACCAAAAAGATGAATAAGGATGACAAAAGAATGGTTAGCCTTCTTAAACTTTTCTCTCTTTATAAGTACACATACTTTATTTTGACGATAATTTCAAAAAACTTAAATTTAACATGTCACATTATAAATTGACATGATCTTATTTCATTTTACTCCATTAGTTTTCAAGGTTTGATTTATCAGTTTGAGGAGCATAATTGATTTTCTTAATTTTTATACAATACACCAAAACGACATTTATTTTAAAATAGATAGGGTGATATATTTGACCAAAAAAGGAATGAATATTCCTCTGACTATGGAGATGAATATGCCGACCTGGATATGGTATCATGCTATCGCTGGCCATGGAACCACTTTGTGGTGCTTGTTACTTTGTCTGTCTATGTTTACCAAGTAAGAACCTAACCAAACTCATGCTAAAATCCATTAGGTCTATTTGTAACGATCAAAGTGCAATATCTTCATCTGAAAAATTAATGAAATTTTCTTATCCTTGGGAAAATATTACAAGGGATCTAACATCTCCAAGTCCAAAGTCTCTGCTATGGAATGGGGTTTCTAGTTCTACCATAAAATTTTTCAAATCAAATTGACCATAATCAGAACTTGACAAATTACTAGAGCACCATCACATCACACACCTTTATTATCACACGTGGCAAAATCAGCCGACAAAGCCACAGAGTACTGAACACGTGTCCAGCATTTTCTAGGCTCAGCAGAAGCTAGTAACTTATCCTCATTCACATTCTCGTCCATGTTCTGCCAAGGATAGTACAGACAAGCTCGATCCACATGCAGAAGCTGTCAAAATAAGATTGATACAGTGGGACCGTGTTTATCATATGGTAAATGAATTAACGAAATTTATATAATATTTCTACCCTTATTTCCTTTTTATTTATTTCGCCTTTTTACTTACATCTTAATTGCTAATAACATATTGATAATCATAAAATTATGTATGTCTCACCTTTATGAATTTCACTCACAAATTTATACTTTTTAATAAATTTTAATGGATTATAAGAATGTATTACCTTATATAACATTTTGATTTTTGTGTTGTTTTATTTCTCATTCAATATGCATAATGGGTCTTTTTTTTTGGGTCGCCATTCAATAAAATGGGTTAATTCATCTTTTGGTGACCACAGAGCGAATCCATACGTGGCTGACCCATTAGCACTAGCCTTTTTGGACTCTATATAGTCTCTCTCATCGCTTACTCTTTAATCTGCACTTTACAACTTGTTACAAGTGACTCATTTTGCTTTATTGCTTTGCTTCATTATAATTTTTAAGCATTTCCATTCTCTTTGTTTGCCAATATTGTTTGTTGTGGTGAATTTTCCTTTAGTTCATCATGCTAGAAGGCAAGGCTGTGATTGGTGAGACTGACATGCTTCAGACTATGCAGCAAGATGCCCTGAATTTAGCATCCAAAGCACTCGATTTCTTCGATGTCACTGAGGCCATTGAGATAGCCCGATTTATAAAGAAGGTAAATTAAAAAAATAATAAAATAAACAATCTTGCTAACAAGTGTTTAAAGATATTGATTGAAAATATTCTTATTAAGTGGTTTTAGTTACTTGAAAAGTATATGTTGAATAATTTTTGTGATTATGTTATGATAAATATTTTCTTTTTTATAAAACTTTTATTTGTTTGGTTATGTAATTGATAGTATGATAATATTTTCTTGTGATGTTACTGCAGGAATTTGACAGGATGCATGGACCTGGTTGGCAGTGCATTGTAGGCACTGATTTTGGTTCCTTTGTGACTCACTGTTGTGGCTGTTTCATCTATTTTTGCATAGGCAATTTGGCCATTTTGCTCTTTAGGGGCTCAGGTGCTCCAGAGGCACATGAAAATCAGTTCTCAGCACTAGAGGCAGCCAAGACATAAATTCATTTCCTAATTTTCCATCAGTTTAGACTCTTCTGTATTTTTGTTAATTCCATGTAATAGAAATCTAGAACAAAATTCACGGTTTCAGGAAAAAACAATTTGCTAGAGGTCTCTAAATTATCTACTATAATTGAGACATGTCAATTTATTTATTTATATGGGATCATCAATATCTGAATATCATATTAGGTATTTGATTAATTCAGATTGGTAAAATTACTGTACACGTCTACATGACAAAGAAGTTACTCTTTGTAGCATGCCGTGTCCATATTTATGTTAGAGAAGAGAAATTGAAAATAGTCATTTTTTTCAAAAAATTCTCTTAACTTGTGTTTGGATGTGCCTACCAAATATATTCATATTTAATTTTGAGAAGTTACTCTTTAAAACATTTAGATTACGCATGTTCAAGCCTCTGACACAAAATTAAACATAAATTTATTTTGTTTCCTTTTTTTTTTTTTAACTTACTGGCTTAATTGTAAATGCACTAGTGCATAATTATTTACAAGTATACAAAGATACCTCTTGATACAAGAGATATATATCCATATACTAACTTAAAATAGAAAAAAATTGAATCCAACTCTTAAAAAATAATTTGGGCCACATTCACATCTTCACAAGAAAGCCCAACCCAAAATCAATTTACACAAAACCAACAATGGGGTTGACAAAAAAAAGCTCACAATGGAGTACAAACTCTTCCATGATCAATAATCAAGCAGTTTTATTGACCAAAAAATAAATCAACAAGTGCTATGACTAAAAAAACAAAAGTCAACGAGTGCTCAATTGCTCAAAGTCATTATTCTCTTTATTAAAACCATGCATTGTATACCCGTGTGACATTTTCTTTTCTTGAATTCAACCCATTTTAGTGAGCAAGAAGTGAATCTATCTTCAACGAATTGGCAGAGTGTTCGTATTGTTTGAGATCATGGCAATCACAGCAATGAACCGGGACAAGGAAGATGATTTATTTGTGACACACCACAAAATATTGATGAGTGTTACTATCTTGGTTATTCTTTACTCCTTGATTGTGCTTGTGATAGTGGCACCGCCTCGTCAAATTGGGAACTTCTTTCCAATCTTGGTCTTTCTTTTATTAGGAAGTGGATGTGCTATTACGGTGCTACTCATGATAACAATTTCACCCATCACTGCATGGATTGCTTTGGTCATTTGGATTTGTTTCTTTGTTTTGGTCGGCTATTATAATCGTCAATGGTTCAGTGGTATCTCAAGCCATAGAACAGAATTGGACGAGAGTACAAGATTGTGTTAGAGAGGGGTGACACACAAAACCCATCTTTGTGTTAGTTTGATTTGCTTGTGAACTATATTTTCTTTTGTATTTTTGTGATTCTGTTAACATAGAAAGGGTCACGTCATGCACCATTGACTGTATCATATGGGTGTGTCGAATAAGTTTTGAGTTTATTGGGCAATGATTCATGGTAGTTTTTTGTAGTAAAATGTTCATTTTAGAATTTGTGAACTCCAAAATAAACATTGCCAAATAAGTGCATGTTTTCCTTTCTGTTGAATTAATGTTGAGGTGATTTTCCAATTTTATGTCATATTATGAATTTGAGTATTGTATGAATATACATTAAAGCAAATTAAATAAACATTCATTCAAACACTTTCTTAAATATAAATATTTTGTAAGTGTAAGGAATTTTCTTTCTTAGAATGTGGCACCATTTCATCCTCTAAATATTTTGTTAAAAAAAGTGAACTTGCATGCCAAGGCAAAAAGGCCGAACGAGATAGCTTTCAATTTGAGAAAATGAATTATTGGGCTGAAGTTTTTGTTTTGGTCCAAGGCTGGACTTCATAAAGCCCAAAATTGAAGTCCAGTGATTTACTCTATTAGCGAAACACAGCGACAATCTTTCCCTGCGTTTTAGAGTTTGAACTGTAAAGGAAGCATCATTTTCAGTGTTCATTCACCCCAGATCGTCGTCTTCTTCTTCTTCCACTACGATACTGTGATCTTTACCTGTCGTGCAGGTACTTCTCACTTTCATTTATTTGAGATCTGTTCCGTTATTCATTTCTCAATCCAACGAATCCGTTTTTTTTTTATATATATATATTTTCTGTATAGTCTATAAATTGCTCCGAAGTTCCGTTCTTAGTGTTCTATGAATGTTTTCGTAGAAAGGTTCTAAAATATATTTTTTTTCTTTTCGGCTATTTAAAAAGAAAAATGGGATAATAGAGCTTGTTAACGCACAGAAATACTGAATGCACGATGTATGATTGATGGTTTTGATGTTTAATTTGCGATAAAATTGGGAAAGAAATTAAACCGAAGTTTGGATGCTTACTTCGTGTAAGTGGATTTGATTTTGTGTTGAAATAATTAAAATTACGGGCGTTGCTTATAATTGCGGTTGATTGGAGAGTGTTGTTGAGGCTTTGGCTGCATAGTTATTGCTGATAATTGATCACAGTTTGGTTTTTCATTGGACTAACTTAGGAATGATTGTATTGTTGCTTGGAGAGTATTCTATATTTCTATCTCCAGATTTTGTCTTCTTTCTGGAATTTCGTAGATATTTTGTGTTTCTTTACTGCATTAGAATTTAGAAGAATGTTTTTAATTGGATTCCTAAATGTATTTTGGAGTAATCTAATTGTGACTTGATTCAATTGCACACAGACTCAAGAATTAGGGACATCAATTTAAGCCTGTCTAGGAATCTTACTCCTCTCACCTGTTGGCATTGCCTACCTTATGATAGGAAATTCTAAACTTTGTCTACAGTTACACAAGCTGTGCGGTGTATAGAAGAAGCCAATAAAAGACTGACACATCATCATTTTAGATAGAAAAATAGTTGTAGAGAACATAAATTTATGTAGAATGTTTTTGTTTATTTGATGATATTTATATTCAATATTTTATTAGCTTAGTCTGCACAAGTTAGAGTTTAAGTCTTTAGAAGAATTTTTACCCTATGATGGAGTGTTTCCCCTTTACAGGGTAGTGAGCTGGTTATATTCATGGCTTTTTCGTCCAAACTTCCACACCAGTTCAATCATGTAAGGAATTTTGTGAATGCAAAAGTAAAGTGGGTCCGAGACCTGGATCTTGATATTGCAGTTCTGAAAGAGAAAGATCTTAAACAGACAATTTCCCTCAAGAACCAAATCATTTCATCTCCTTCCAAATCCCTCTCCATCTACACTGCTTCTCAACTAAAAGCTTCCCTCAACCTTCCCAGTTCACCTACCAAATTCATTGACAAATATCATTGTGTTTTCTCACAATTCCAACCTGGTCCTGGTCGCCCTCCACATGTCAAGCTCACTCCTCAAGCCTTTTCCCTCCACAAAGAAGAAATGGCTATTCTTAACTCTCCTACTAACCGTGAAGACACTGTTCAGAGGCTTGCAAGTCTTCTAATGCTTGCTGGCATGGGAAAGTTGCCTCTTTATGTAATTGAGAAGCTAAAATGGGATATGGGTCTTCCCCATGATTATGTGACAACCCTTTTGGCTGATTACCCTGATTATTTTGATGTTTGTGTCGTGGAAGATCCATCATCTGGAAAAGAATTGCTTGCTTTAGAACTTGTTTCATGGAGAAAAGAGCTTTCTGTGTCCGAGTTGGAGAAGAGAGCAATGAGTTTGGGCTACAGTGGAGATAAAAGAAGGCATGATATTGGATTTCCCATCTTTTTGCCAAAAGGTTTCGATTTAGAGAAGAGGGTGAGGACTTGGGTTGAGGATTGGCAAAAGCTGCCTTACATTTCTCCATATGAAGATGCTTTCCATCTTGACTCAAATAGTGACCAAGCAGAGAAGTGGACAGTGGCAATTTTGCATGAGCTGCTTACTCTTCTTGTGTCAAGGAAGACAGAGAGAGAGAATTTGCTTTGTTTTGGAGAGTGTTTGGGGTTGGGCTTGAGATTTAAGAGGGCTTTGGTTCATCATCCTGGTATATTTTACATTTCCAATAAGATTAGGACTCAGACTGTTGTACTTAGGGAGGCTTATAGAAAGGATTTTTTGGTTAAGAAACATCCATTGATGGGTATAAGATATTGGTACATTAACCTCATGAACAAAACATAGAAGCACTGTAAACAAGCTGATTTGGTGGATGGTCATGATGTTGAAGCTTAGCTATTGAGGCTGAAGTATTTTCCTGTTCAAACTTTCTGCCAAAGCAATCAAGTCTAAATTCCTAAAAAACTGCTTGTTAAAATGTTTCCTTTGAAAATGTTCAAGAAGAAATTTATGAACTTAATTTCCAGAATATAAATGTACTTATTTGTTTATTATGTAATTTCTTGAAAATTTATGGTAATTGGCACTGATGCTGCCAAAGTGATCAATCAGACAATCACAGTGGGGTGGAGTGGATGTCTGCCATTCCCAGACAAACTTAAGTGTTGTGTGAGTTGTCATGACAATAGTGGATGATTGTAAACCAAATTATGGCTGTTGGGGCTGCAAATTTTCTCAGGGACAAAATCCCTGTTTTGCCGATGGTGAACATTGACCACATATGATTGATTGAGGTGTTTATTTCTCTCCTTCACCAATTGCATACATTTGAAGCATGTTATGATTAGTTCCTGGTGTTTTGTTGCATCACACAGAGAAGGGATGTTCCCATGTTTTTATCCTGCAATCCACCAATTTTTAGGTGAGATATGGCAGCCCATGCATTTTCAGGTCTTGAAAGGGAAGAAGACATTCTGATTTCCTCGAGTAAATCCTCATCTAATTTGAGGAATTTAAGAAAAGTGGAAAATAAATCAGAAAATGTACAAATCAAATCCTAATTATCCATATCAACAGAAAACATACAGTCCCTAATGGGAGTATTTTCAACTATGGTCAAGTTGAACCTTTTCACTGCCTCTGTTGGAAGCTGAGTTGGAGTTCCTCTGTTTTTGGTAGCTTCTGCAGTCCTTGTTTTCAAGATTCCTCTACCTCCTGCCTATGTTACTGATTTATTGTTATTAATTACTGTTTTTGATTCAGCTTATATTAGCAGTTTTGTGAGAAAGTTTTTGAAAAATGAGCGATTAATTTCCTAATTAAAAAACTAATCCAAGCATGCAGCCATGCACTTCGATTAATGATGGTTGTCTTTAAGCTGTGACTCTTGAGTGCCTTTTTTAATATAATATGACTGAGTTTTAATGATGAATATGTCATAAGTTTTGAGTAGAGTTTTATGCATTTATTATATGTATATCAAGTATTAAAATTTACCTGTATCTTTGGTGTGGCTGCCTGCCACTGCTTGATCTGCTATGTTATTATAGCATTTTGGAGTCATCACTGTACAAGATATACTATTTTGGATGCTACCATACTGACACAAAAAAGTAAACATCATGGGTGTAGGAAATGATTACTGATGGAACTGCTATTGAGTATCTTTGCAAATTTTGAATTTGAATGCTCAATTACTAGTGATTACTTCTGTTGTTATCATATGATGATAAGATTTCCATTTTAAACTAGCTGAGGGTGAACTCTTTGTTGCTATATGCTAAAACATAAATTTTATTAATCATACAAACAACCAGCCATTTTGGAGTGTGATAGGACTTGGGATTAATTGTCAACCCGCCTGATCCCATCCATTTAAGGCTGGTGTGTAATGGTCAATAGGCCGTCCTGGTTGAGTCTGTTCTGTTGGGGCAAAATTATAACTATCTTTTGGATCTAATATAAGTTTGTTTTATAATTTGTCTTTTATTTGCATGATTCTCACTAATTTTCAATTGTATACTTTTTCTTTTTCAGCGACCATACTGTATAAATTGTGAACGGAAAATTTTGCTTCATTTCTTTCATCTACTCATCTATATATGATTTTACCATTGCTAAAACACCATTCTAAGTTAATTTTGTATTATTTGTGCAGCTGAAGTTCATGTGATTGCGGAACATTAGTTTCTTCTTCTTTTTCTGCATGGTGTTTGTATTCAAGTGAACACTTTTCAGGCATGAAAATATTCAGTGGATGGCATCGTTTTGTTCTTGGTCTTCCTTTGATTTTCCTCCTGACTCACCTGTTCTCTGGTGGGTAATCCTTTTTTATTGCAAATATAGATCTAAATGTTTGGTGGAGCCTTACAACTTACAAGTAAACCTTTGTCTTTCAATCAGTCATGGAGTTGTACAAAAGATCAAAAATGGAGGAACCCCACAAGCAACTTAACAAGAAATTTGATCATCTGGTTCTTGGTCCTGCTGCTGGACAAGGCTTGTCAAATCGTTTGCAATGCCAAGGTTCTTTTTGTCATTTTATAAAATAGTTTTTTTTTTATAATGGTCTCAATTTTTGAATGTTTTTGCTTAGCATAATGTGATTCCCAACAAGGTTGTCTCAGAATCTTTTATATCGAATAATGCTGCTGAAATAAACCCACTTTGGACAAATTTTTGATAGACATGGTCGCTTAATACTACTAATATGCTAGTCACATTGTCAAAATTGCATTTGGGATTTTGGTCATTTAGCATTCGCAAATGCTAATGCATAACTTTTTTTTCCTTCAAAATCCTCATATTAGTGATCATCTTAGACATAATATATGGTGCTAGAGAACCAAATGGATATTTTATATTTATTTCATTTATGTGGCTGAGGAAAATATTACAACAAACTGATGAAGAATTTTGACATCTTAAAGATCCAAGACTATATATTTATAGTACTTCCGTCAAACCCTATTATCTTTAAGAGTTGACATCAATTTTTGTTTTAAAGAGCCATTGCCTAGGTATATTACCATGTCAATTTTACTTATAACAAAAACTTGAAGTTTGGAATGAATAATTATTGCATTCAAACTACTTTTAAAATTGATTGTTGCTCATAGATTTGCTTGTGACATTTGTGTGTTGTTATTACAGATTGTCTGAAATTGTTTTCTATATCTGGCTTGTTTTCCTTTTGTTATTTGATACCAACCTGCTTATGAACCTAATTTAACAAAATGAAAAAATTCTACACCCAACATATATTTTCCATTGTGACATGTCATGAGTTGGGTATCATTAATGTGTATATTTATTTGTATACTTTTCACATTGGACTTGCAATGTAGACCGTATGCCCAAAACTTTTTTGCATTAGTTTGTTGGATTAACTTAATTTGGCCTTTAATCTTATTTTGGAGATATTTATTTCAGCCTGTTTGCAATTTCCTCTTAATTGTTTCATGCAAGGTTGTTAAACTTGACTCAAAGTCGTAAGAATTTACCTCATCCAAAAGAAATATTAAAAAAATCACAATAATAAAGCAAAACATAATAACAAAGTTAAAACCACAATCAAATAGTCAAATCATATTCATACAATGATAAAGTCAGTGAGAATGACCCGATGTCCAAATCTCAAGTTCATAGCAAAACATTAACATAGATTCATGAGGTGAAAAACCAAAAACTTCAAATAAGAGCAAATAAGTCATGATCTTTCATGTGTGTTTATCCCCATAGTGATGGTGTATGTGAAGTTGAAGATATTTTGTTTCCATAAGTTTCGTAATCTAGATAAACCTGTAACAATGATTTCATCCAATGATTATTGAATTTTCTTATTTCTTATAAATTTTAAAAGGTCTGAAATCATATATTTAAAATTATTTATCAGGTTTTTCATTTTACTCCTAAATTTCATGTTTTATTTATTTTTTTCTCGTGTGATTCTTATAATGCATTTACAAACTCTCAATTCACAGGGACATACGCTCTTAACAGGACCCATTCTTCTAACAGCAGATCAGGTTTAGACGGAAGTATCACATTTGTCACTGTCTTTACTGTTTATAATTCTTCTCTCGATGATGTAGATGATAAATCATCAAACACAGTTGTTGGCAATGCTTCATATAATAAGGTGGGCAGGTCAATGGCTTTGTTGAATGTCTTCATTAACTTCATTCAGGTAAATATTGAATTAAAATTGTGGGTCTGTCTCACTGCAAAGAGCTTATTGCCTTTGATTATTGCATATATTGTTTCTTTACTGATTATAGTATAGTTAAGTGTGCTGTGTTCGTCTATGATTTTATACTTTTGGAGTTTATGAACTGCCATTAATGTAATGTTCATATCTTCTTGAGTTTTTTTCCTCCATTGGCACTAATTGTTCAGCCACATGCACCCAAAATGTCATACTTCCATGTCATCATTTGGCTTCTAATAAATTTTGATTGATACACTTTACTAAAAAAAGGTAGGAAGCTTAAGTAATTTAATAATAAATATACTTTTGGTCTTTTATATTGTTAAAATAAAGCTTAATTTGTTTAAAAGGACCAAATATTTGGTATTTAACTTTTAAATGGATTTATGTTGTCATTTGTCCTAGAGTTTGTTTTCTGATAATTATACCAGAATGGCATCATTCATTCAACATTTGGTATGGACAATGTTTGCAGGTTGCAATGCCCTGGAGCAAAGTGATTATTCTCACAGACCCAGTGTCTGATCTCTCAGTGGACCGAAATAGTGTCTCTCTGTATCCTATACAAGGTGAATATTCACGAGACAAGTTGATGCTCCAAAGGATCAGGTCTTACATTGTAAGATCACAATGCATCCACAGTAGATAAAACATTTTGGTGAAATAATTTCTCATCACTCATCATGACCACTTTTTGTGGAATATTTTTCCTGCCCTCTGTGTCCAGCAATTTTAATGATCAACGCTACATAAATTAGATCTGCAGTGCTTGCTAGTATTTATTCAAAGATATAGTTTTTTTCTATTTATATATTCATGAAGATGTTTAAAATAATATTTATTATTATTATTATTTTTACTAATATGTTTTTCTCATAAAATTTCTAAATATAATAAATAAAGTATTTACACTAATGGAGTAGTTTAAAGATAAAAAAGAATGATATAATAAAATAAATGAAAGTGTAAATAAAAAAATTTACCAACACCATATGAGTTAATTCCTTAGTCTGTATAATTTATTGCCTTTTAAAAAACAAATAAAAATAGATGTAATATATCATTTAATTATATAAAAATTAAATATGTATATATTTTATGAATTTTGGGCACCAAGAAGGTCCACCTCTGATTATGTTCCCCCTTTAGGGCTAGTAGTGTTTTTTATCATTACATTAATGATGTTTAGAATTTTAAAATTTTAGTTCTTTAAACTAAAATAACCTTTTTTAATTCTTTACAGACCTTTTTAGAAACCAGGCTTCAGAAACTTCCTCAGAAGCCAACGAATATCACTCATTACATCTTCACCGATTCTGATATAGCAGTGGTTGATGATTTAGGGCAGATTTTCCGTGACCATCCTAATTTTCATCTGGCTCTGACTTTTAGGAACAATAAGGCTCAACCTTTGAATTCAGGATTCATTGCTGTTAGGGGTACCCCAGATGCAGTTTTAAGGTGATAATCTGTACTATCTGTAGTTTTAATTCAACTGCAATTATGTCATATACTACAGAAACTTTAAAAAGCGGACTGATTGTGTAATTTACTAGTATTTGTGCAGCTTATTCATGATATTAACCTTCTGATATGGACTTACCTATCTTTAGATCACATACTTGATCAACAACATGCTTATTTAGGGTTTTGGGGAGAAGGGAAACAATTTATTTTTGGCATTTAATTTTGATTTTTTTTATTGTTGTTGGTGTAAGAAGTTTTATACTGTACTATCCATCCTATTTAAAACCTGAAAATGGAAAATGTCGGTTACTTTTACTGCATGATGTTTTTTGTTTACTAATAATGTAAATAGTGTTGCTGAAAAAAACACTTTATTTTGATGCTAGCATTCCAATGTCATTGAGTGTTACTGACATTATTATACTTGATGGAAAGTAGTAAGGAATTTTGACCTACTGTTCTAGCAAATTGCTTGATGTGTAACGTTACCCTACATAGGTACACATGCAATTTCCTTTGATATGCTTCTTTGGTCATTTGCAAGCTGGCATTGCCAATGGTATCATGATTTTTGTTTTAATTTTTTTTTTTGGTATATATTTCTCTGCTGAACAATGTTTGAAAATATGTAAATCTTTTTCAATTTCCATTTTTCCTGATTTATCCCTCATTACTTTGGTAACTAATTCTTGAGAATAAATGCAGGGCAAAGCTTTTCCTACAAGAGGTCTTGAAAGTTTACAGCTCAAAATATAGAAATGCTTCCCGCATGCTGGGTGACCAGTTAGCTCTTGCTTGGGTTGTGAAGTCAAAACCTCATTTTGACGCTAGCAGGTTTGGCAAAGCACGTGCTTTCTCTGAAGATATTCGTGGTACTTCAGTATTATTCTTACCTTGTGCCCTATACAATTGGACTCCGCCTGAGGGTGCTGGTCAATTTCATGGCATGCCATTGGATGTTAAGGTATAACTCAGACTTACAGCAGTTGTATTTTTATCTGATCCTCGGCTGATTGAAGTTTGATTTTTGGAGGTTTTTAAATATGAGATTTGTTAATCTCAACTCTTTGGACTAAGTTAAGCACCCAAAAGTAATAAACTTTTATTGGAAAAAATCAAATTTACTACAATAAAATTATAAAAATGTGATAAATGCTTATTTTTTCAATAATTTTTTTTTATTATTAGTTGTTTAAATATAATATATTGTCCTTAAAACTTTTAACACGATGAGTTCTTGGTTTGTCTTTGGGATGTAGGTTGTTCATTTTAAAGGATCAAGAAAACGTCTAATGCTCGAGTCTTGGAATTTTTATTCCTCTTGTCGTGACATTTCAGACATGTTATGTCTCATTTTGGGAAGTGGAAGAACAAAATATGATTTTTGAGAATGGTCACTCTTCAAATATTCACATATCATATAATTTAGCATCTTGTGGCAGTAACTGCTTCAAATTTTAGCACAGAAAAACTCAGCCTTCCTTTTTATTTACTGAACTGATAGCTGCAAACTGAAGGCAGAAAATGGCGCTAAAATGGGTTGGTTGGTTCTTCTCCTTGGAAGAGTTCTTCTCAGAAGACACAGTTTTCCCGTTCCACCATATCAAAAGCATGTGCAATATAATATTATTGTTTTTAAAATGGCAGTGTGATATGTGCCTTTTTGTGCAATTGGAAAAGATATTCAGGGTGTGTAACTCCTATTGCTGCTTAACAAGTTGAATAGCTCGTTCACAGGGGAACTACACTATGAATGTTGCTTGTTTCTATAAGCACGGGAAATTGGAAGAGTAAGAACAACAGAAACTTGATATTTTACAGAACATATTGTTAAAATTACTTTACCTTTTGGTTAGATCATCAACTTCCATTGTACAACATTTTGGCTTCGCCTATTTTTAGTTCACGAGTTCAATTGTTAGATTCATCACCTCAGGGAATGAAATGAAACACTATGAAAGGGTACATGTAACTATAGCATGGGAGCCACAAATTGCTTAGCCAATTGAAGACCTTGATTTCGCATTAGAACGGGATGCATGAGCCCGAGATACCTGTAATCATCATGTTCCGACTAAAATGACTCCGAAGAAAATTAGCTACTTTGGATGTTTTCCCATCATTTCAAATGCAACTATCTCAAAGCTATAAATGTCGCATTTTGTCGAATATTTCAATTTTATGCTGAGCCAAATGATTATTATTTACTTACATAATTTAAAAAGTAATATACTTATATATACATTTTGTATCCCTAATCCTTATAATAATAATCATCATCATCATACCTAGAAGGGCTTATTGCTTATAATATCAAAATTTTATTAACTTAACAGTACAACTAATATAAATCTTTTACATAAAAGATTTTGTTTATTTTATTTTAATAAAAATTATATTATTCTTATATTTGATGAAAATATATTTAATTTTAAAATTTTTGACAAAAATATAATTAATGTCTTTTTTTCCCCTCAAAATATATATATTTATGTCTATGTAATAGAGGTGCACTTTGAATCATCTACTGTCAATGTTTTGGTCCAATATGCAAAAATCCCAATCATTGATTTATTCTTAAACAACAATTAAGAGTGTCAATGGAGGTTAGAGTCTGTCCTCCAAAAGCTTGCCATAAAATGGGTCAGTCTGTCCCATCTAAAAAGAGACTGGATTTTCAAGTTCAGCTTGTTCAAGGCTGGAATTGGTGTGCTAACTGGCCAGTTTACCAAAGATAATTTTTTTTTTTAAAAGTTGGTGAGTTGATAGGCTAGCCAACCTAAAACTAACACAAGAATAGAAAATATATTATTTTTATATTAATAAAAAATAATATTTAATTAATAAATAATTATTTTTTTTAACATTAAAAAATGGGCATGATGAGCTAGCCCACCAATGGTGGGCTAGGCAAACTTGCCCATCAAACTCAATCCACTTTAACATTCCTACAATTGAGTAGAGTAGGAAATGAAATATACGATAAAAATTTTAATTACAAAGGTGGTAAAAAGAGTTCTTTTCACCATAACAGTACAATTTTGAAAATTTTTTATTAAAACAATATTATTTAAAAATAAATTATTAAAATGAGTGAATTTATCTCTATTAAAAGAAGTATTGAATAAAAAAATAAACTCCACATTACCACAATACAACATGTGTCATGTTTTACGTGTGACTTGCATTAAAAGAGCTCCGCATATTAAAGATGCATGCTTTGCATTATAGTATGTGATGTCATTTTCATTAAGAGTTACGTATTAAAAGGTGTTATATATTATAATTCAGTGCACTCTTTCCTTACTTTTACTCTGCATATTAAAAATTCACATGTAATACATTTTGGTCTGTGTTACTTTTTAATATTAGAGTTTGAATTCAAATTTAAAATTTAATTTCTCTCATTCTCTTGACTAAATTTTAAATTTTACTTTTTCTTCACATTACTTAACATATAAATTTATATTTTAGTTTTTTTTAAAAAAAATAAAAGTTTAAATTTTGAATTCAAACTTCTTGTGAACAAATTTAAAATTGAAACAAAGTTTTAATTGATGTGAAAAGAAAATTTAAACTTCAAAATGAAATTCAAACTTAAATGCAAAAAATAAAAATTTAAATTTAAATTTTAAATTTTGGTCAAAGTAAAAAAAAAATTTAGACTCCAATACCAAGAGGCACCATATATTAAAGTGCACCACGTGTTTTGCAAACTTTCATAAAATTATTTGTTATACTATTTATCATTTTTTTCTTTATTTCTTTATCATCCATTTAAATTTTCTTTAATTATTTCTCTTTTTTATTACTTTTTGATTTTGAAATAATGTTTTTTATATATTTTTAAATTTAGAGAAAATATAGCAATTTTTTAAATATTGTGATTTTGAACTTTTTTCTTCTGTATTTCTCCATCTCTCACAATTTCTCTTTAATTATTTTTCTTTGTTATCACTTTCCTACTTTAGGAATGCGTGTGAGATTTTTTTTCTTTCTAGGTTTATTAAATAAAAATATTTCCATAAACAATTATGAAATTAATTGAAAAGGTAATCCAAATAATTTAGGTATTAATATTCTATTTGATTATTATTATTATTATTATTATTATTATTATTATTTCTATTTCAGATAATATATTTTTTATCATTCTAATTAATTATTTATCTTTTTATCATTTTTTATTTTTGGAGTTAATGTGTTTATTTCATTTTTAACTTTAGATAAAAAAAATATATTGTTTTCTATAACAACAAAATTAATTGGTGTAGTTTCATGTTTTGTTCCATATTTTAATATATGCAAGGTTTTAATCATCTTAATTTTAATTTTTCATTTTTAGTCCTTTTATCTTTTTTTTAATTATTCAAATTAAGCCTTTTACATCAAAGTCTCATTGAATAATTTTAAAAATTATAATAGAGGTGGGACATATCATTGATTTGAATAAATTTAAAAAGAAAAAAATAACATAGTTAATAAATTCTATAAAATATAATAAATTTATTTTTATTTTCTTATTTTATATATTATTTTTCTTTGCAATTTTTAAAAATTAATAATATATTACATCTTTATTATTTTTTCATTAATTGTGATTGAAAGTTTATATTAAAGAATTTAATTTGAATAATTAAAAAATATATAAATTAAATTGAAGAATCAAAATTAGATAAACTAAAATACACGAACTAAAAACGCAATTAAGGCAAAAGAATTCTTCTCAAATTTTTTTTTTTAATTTCTTCATGTTTCATTTAATTCCTCTTTAATTGTTTCTCTTTGTGTCAATTAATTTCCTTTTTTAAAGTTGCTGTGCGATTTTTTCTTTTCAATATTTATTAAAGGGATACAATGTTCAAAACTTTTAATACACAGCATTCATAGTGTCAGCAGTGGTATAGAGAATAACAAAAAACAAATGGACATGACCAAGGTTCTGCCTGCAGAGTGTGTCTCAGTCATTATTTCCTTCACATCCCCTAACGATGCATGCCGATTATCTATTGTGTCCCCATCCTTTAAAGCAATTGCAGATTCAGATGTTGTGTGGGAAAGCTTTTTGCCATCTGATTAAAAAGATATCATTGACCAGTCTTCAACACCATCCTTAAATTTGTTGTCCAAAAAACAAGTTTATTCTCACCTTTGTGACCATCTGTTCTTTTTGCTAATGGGATTATGGTAAGACTATAAACTTATTCTAAGTATATTTTGTTTTGTCACATATTTTGCATTAGATTAAGAGATGTCACTTATTTTGTTCAAGGAAGTTGCATTGGTTAATTGGAAATGTTAATTAATTGCTAGGAGGCAATGATGCCATGCCAATCCTTTGCCAATTTTTGCACTTATAATTATTATTTTGTTGAAAGGGCAAAGGTATCTTGGATTAGCTCCATTATTTTTTCCCCAATTCATTATAAAATTTTTTTGCTGTCATCATAAATTTGCTAGTTTCAAATTTCTCTATATATGATTTAATTGAAGATAGTGATTGGATCATCCTTAATTCTTCTCAATTTCGTTTCTTGATCTTGATATTGCTTATCCTCTTTCTAATCATTGATTTACCAAAAGAAAAAGAATGCTTCTTTTCACATCATGTTTTTCTACTTACTCCCATTTAACACGCAAAATTATAAAAATTGATTTCAATTGAGCAGAGTTTATCTTTAGAGAAAGCTACGGGCAAAAAGTGCTGCATGGTAAGTGCAATGGGACTTGAAATTGCTTGGGGTGACACACCTAAATACTGATGCTGGCAGTCTATGCCCCAGTCCAGGTTTCCTTTCTTATCTCATCTATTGTTTTGATTTATCGGAATTTCATGATTTTTTATGTTGTCGTGATTATACATTCATCACGATCATCTCATTTAGATCACTATACATATCTACCTACCATTACGTTCATCAATTGTTATAGTTTCAGAAGGTTAATAAACAATTTGATTCTTGAAAAGGAAAGTTAAATTGCTTTGGTTTGTAGAAGTGTATATAATTAATCTCTAAAAGTATCAACTTACTATTAAATTTTTCCTGTTAAGTTATAATTTTTATAAGTATTTATAAGAAAATAATTAAATAATTTTTTTTATATAAAAAAATTAACTTACACTCATTAAATTTTAGGATATGTATGAAAAATTTTACGATTCATAAAAAATAATTTATAACACTTATAAGTTATTTTTAACCTATTTCAATATAAGCTTCTTAGTATAGTTAATTAAAATAAGTTATTTTCAGTTTATTTTAATATATTATATTATTACATTTTTAGCAAAATCATTATTTTTTTAAAAAAATATTAAATAAGTGTTTAACTAAGTCATGTGTACCATTAAACGTATAGATCAATTAATAGAAGATTGTTCTGACTTAATATGTGGTCTCAAATTTTAATGAATTTATTTTACTACTAAATATTTTATTTATTCTGAGTATTTATTGAGCGATTTATTTAAATTAAACCCTATATAAAACTTTTAGAAACGTAACTTTCGGCGACCAAATTGTATAATTATTTTTGTTCGTTTTGGAGGAATGATAATTGCTATGCATATGCAGATTTTCTAAAGTAGCAGTGCTCCAATATGTATGGTGGCTAGAAGTTATGGGAAGTATAGAAGCTAAGCTTTTGCGCCAAATACAAACTATGCTGCATACTTCATCTTTAACTTAAGAAATCATCAAAATTTCACACAAGACTGTGTGTGAAGCAAGTATAAACTAGTCTTACAAAAGGGCATTCCTAGAACCTCCTGGTGAGGGAGTTCAACAAAGAGAAGATGGATGGATAGAGGTTGAGATGGGAGAGTTTTTCAATGGCAATGATGATAGACTTGTTAACTTTAGGCTATGGGAAACTAACGGGTATATTAAATCTGGCTTAATTGTTCTAGGAGTTGAGTTTAGGCCCAAGAATGATGAGGAAATCTTTTGTGTGTTTGGATTGGAGTTTTTAAATTTTATTTTAGAAGAATTTGGTTTATAGAAATGATTTTAGCTAAAAGGAGGTTTGAATGAAAAAGATTTATATTTGGAAACATTTACTTGAGAAGTAATATTTACATAATGAATGTCATTTGGATAGTGTTACTATAAATTACTACTAGATTATAATTATTAAAAAATATGTGACTCTTCTTATTTGATATATTAAATAGTAAAATAATTAAGTTCAACAGATATTTTGTCAACAAAATTTTGCTTTGACATTGACGGGTTAATTAAAACCAAGTTTATAATCTAAACTTATTAGTTTTATCTTAGAATTTCTTATCTATATATAGATGAACAATATTTGAGGCTAAATACATCTTACAGATTGGAGTTTGACTTCCATGATGCCAAACCGAACAAACCCTCAATGTCACTTATTATTATTGCCGTAGTCAACACAATATGCCACTTGGGCTTAACGAAATGGTGCCTAGTATAATTAACGAAATCTATTGCTGAAATAATGATAATTTAAGAAAATGTATTATTAATGAATTTCTTTATTTTTATTATTATGTGATTAAAATTTGGATCCTCTAATGCTATTAAGTATATGATATTAACATATTTAAAATAAAAATAAAAAGATACATTTTTGTCAAATAAAAATCTATCATATAATTTATTATTAAACCCTTTAATTATATTTAATAAAATAAATTATATTTCTATCTCTAACATAAGTAAATCATGTTACTCATCAAAATGAGAGAATCTAAATTCATGAAAGTATTTATACTTCCATAATAATTGAAAATAGAACTAAAAGAACACTTAAAACATATCTGTAATTATCATTATTCTATTTCATAAAAAAATAATTTAAGGCACACAACATTCCAGTCTAATCACTAGCTTCCTAAAATGATTGTTCATTAGCCGATGCAAGCCTAAAAAATTTAATATATCTCATCCAAATATAATTATTTCCCCATATTTCATTTTTCCAATAACCCGAACATAATGAATACAATCATAAAACATGCACACATGTTACATTTTTTCCCCCACCCATAAGATGAATTAAACAATAAAAATACACACCCACATGGTCAGAAGTCAAAATCATCCTGATTAGGCTTTGGTGAGGTCAACAAAGCCGTGTAGAGGCGAATCCTATCTTCTCCCAAGGAAGAGCACCTTGACAAAGGCCTCCTAGGCCTTATAAAGGACAATGAAGTCAAAGTCAACCTATGTTTGTACCTTCTCCATGCCAATTGAATGGCCACAGAAGCCCAAGTTCTCCACCCTGGTGAGTAATACCTTGCACTTCTTTTCACCTTTTCCTTAACAAATGTGTACCTAAAATGTTGTGTCACATATTTAACATCTTGTGCTTCAAGACCAAATGCCTCTGTGGTTTCTAATGTGATGAGTGTGGATGATGATGGTGGAAGACGCTCTATGAAGGGTCTCCTTAAACACCACGAAAGAAGCTCATCGCCACTGAAGTTTCCTGGACCTAACATGCAACAACTTTTCACACCATCCCTTAGAACTTGGCTACTTTGAAGGTGACCCCTTACAACAAATAGCATTCTCTGAACTGGGTCTCCTTCTTTTGCTATCTGCATCATAATTAATTATTAAAATTCTGAGTCGTTTATATTTGCAAACTAATAAAACTCTCATATTGGAAATTGATCTACTGTTGGCACAATGCTTTATGCTGAGTCTCAAGTGAGTTATTGACATGGTAAAGTTAGGCCTTTATTTTATATATAAAGAAAACTTCTAACATAAGCACGTATTAGAAATTTAAAATACCAAATTCATATAATTTTATGGACAAATAAGATAAGTTTTTTCGCTTTTTTGTGCAAGATGAGATGTGACTTTACTATATATATTGGTGTGTCAAGATTAAGTGGAATTAATTAGAACGTACTATTTCTCCCTTTGTGAATATCAGAGACTTCACACGGTCACAGATGTTCTCTAGAACCAGATCGTCCATGTGTTGAAAAAGTGGCACCTGAACAAAATATCAAGACATTAGTATTACTATTCAAGCTTAAAGTCCTGGTTATTCTAATTTGGTTTGGGCCAGTTGAATTACACCTCATGGGAGACCCACTCACGTAGAAGGTTATCCAATGAAAGACAAAAGGAAAAAGAAGGTTATCAAATAATCTTTCTTTGTGCCGTTTCGAAATTAAAATAAAAAGAAATAGAGATAACTACCAGAATTTATCTTTAGTTTAGTATCAATTATATTTGTGCCACTAATTTCATTAAAAGAATGATGGCTGTCTTCCTTACTTTATACATTATTCATACATATTAAGACGCTATTTTTTAAATAAATTATACATTTTCCTTATTTTTATATTCAAAATACATATGTATTAGCTTAAAAAAAAATAACCAAATAAGAGTATAAGAAGGTAAGTGTACATACATACAGATAATTGAGCACTTCAGATGTTACTAAAAATGTAGGAAGAAGAAAACATTTCCCCTCCTTGTTCACTTCATGTAAGTTTCTGATCCAGTAGTTTATAACAGTATATTGCAGTCAGATTTTAAACGCGATCATACCATTGTTTTTTATTTTAAAATAAAAATGATGATTCAAACATGGTAATATAAAAGTCTTACTTAAGCCTCAAGCTAATGTGAGAAAATATATTGGATTATATGCGTTGTTAACTACTGAATGATGAGATCTCTGAACCAAAATAAAAATAAAAATGGGTCACTTTGAGAAGTTGCATTACCTGTCTGACCAAGTCCAAACAAAGATGGTACTTGATGTCTCTTCTTAAACCCTCAGGAAGATTTTTGGTCATTTCGCATTCATCAACGCCACGCATAGCAGCCCAACGCTGTCTTTCATAGTTACGCACTCGCTGCCTAAACCCTTGAGGTAACCTCCTTTTCCTCATCCACCATTCAATGTTCCTCATCTTCAATTGCATTGCTTGTTTCTTTGATGTTGTTGCATGCAAAAACACCTGCACCATGCACATACACCCATGACATTAAAATAATTTCATAACAAATACTTATATATCTAAGTTATCTTATGAGAAAAATAATTTAATTTTAGGTATTTATCAGATTTATTTTATAAAAGTTAAATAAAAGGTTTTAATTCAATATCTTAACTCTATTAATTTACTTAAAACAAAATTATTTCTTGATGAGATAATTTACACGGACCCATATCACCAAATTATATAGTGAGCAAGCCAAAGAGTAAAAGTGAATTTGAAAGGTAGATTTTGACAATTATATAGTTACTGGTTATTTACCTTGATGTTTCCAATCAACATAGTGACAAGAAGGAGGCCACTAGTTAAAACAATGATGTTGAAAACTACTTCTAGCCATTCCGTTGTGCTCTCTAGGTTCCCGAAAGTGCTTATCACATCAACAAAAAAGAATTTTAGACTAAGTATAAAGCAAGATGGATAAACATCAAAGTGGAAACTAATTAATGATAATGCTAAGCAAATATTTATTTAAATTTGGTTTAAATACACTAGATTTTACACTATTATCAAATCATAGATTGATATATTAAAAAATATTGATTTTTATAAAATTATATCTACTATAAAAATTTTACATTGAAAATATACTAAAATTAAATTATATTTTTTTTTGGAAGAAAAAAATCAATTAATAATAAAATTAGAGCATTATTTGAGAACACCTCTCATATTTAGGTGACAATACAATACATGCATTGCTGTATTACTTACAAAATATCAATCATCGAATAAGTCTTAAAACATTAATGATCACCGTATTAATAAGTTAAATTTTTTAACTATTATATTTTAATTCTGAAATTTCATTTTTAAATATAAAAACATTTTTTATAATTTTTTTAATCTCAACCTTTAATATTAAGTATAAACATTTTAAAATATTAAATTTTATTAAAGAAGTTATTACATTAAAGATATAAAGTATAGTAGACAATCTTTTTTAATAAAATTTTATTATTACTGGTTCTTTAAATTTAATTCGAAAGACTAAAGTTAAATTTTTTTACAAGTGAATTTATCTATAATTTTAATTTTTAAAATTTCAAATTGTTAATTACCTTTACAATTTTCTTTTATGCTAATATACTTTATATTAAACTTTTATCATATGTAAAAAATTAAAATTCCCAAATATCAACTTTAATTACTTTTAAAATTTATTTCTTTATTATTCTTTTTCATCTCAATTTTTAACTACCTTTATTCTAAAATGAATTCCTTTGGTTTCTCAAATTTGTTTTTTTTCTTAATTTTTTTATGTAAGCAAAAGTATCTATGCAATATTTATTAGATGCCTCAACCATACAAAAATTCAATAACTATTATAATAACTTGTATGATATTAGATAACCAATTGAAAATATACTCTTATTTCTTCATCAAACTCTTGGAAATAATGACTGTGATTATATGTATAGAAATGACCCACGAAATAGTAATATAAACACGACAAATAATTAAAGAGATTGTCAAAAGAAAAGAGGACTTTTTTTTAGGGTCAACAAAGCAAGCAAGACTTTAAGCAAATATAGGGAATATTATCTGAGAAAATAAAGGTACCTGAGAGTCATTAGGCCCCAAAAGATAGGGAATAGTATCTTTTCCAATCGACTATCATTAGTGACAAGCTGAACGGTCCATCTATAAGCTCCATATGTGTAGTTGTCAGGGCCATTTAAGCACATATTCCTTACTTCCCTGTTCTCTGCCCATGCTATTCTTCCTTTGTCCCTTAACATGTTATTGCTTCCATAATATATAGGGTTTTGACAAGACAATATTTTCATGCCACAGCCACTTGTTTTCCCACATTGCTCTTTCAGACACTTGCTTGCCCTTTGAATCCCCAACAAGTACCAACATGCCCCTGCGGCCTGTTTTGCATAAACAAAATGCACCTTTATTAATTTCTTGAAAGGGTATTTCAAAAGAAAAATAAAGTTGATTTTGTTAGTTTGTGCCCAATTATGTGCTTAAAACTAAAATAAACGATTTGTTTATTTGTTGAAATCTAAGCCTGATAGCCTCTTGAACAGGAGAAATTCATTTCGTGATATATTCTATCAAATGTCAAGAAACATACAGCTATGCTTTTTCTTCTATCAGCACACGGTTCTACCTAGCCAAGCTATTTAAAACTTTGAATATTAAAAAGACTCGTTATAAGAAAATTACTTTTTCAACACGTTTTATTAAGAATAATGGTGACATATATATTTATTAAGAAAGATAAAAAAAAAAAGGTTCTATATATATTCTGTATATAATTAAAAACTAAAATTCAAAATAATTTTTAGCTAAACAAGTTTATAAAAAAAGAGAAATCTCGCAACCGGCACGAGCTCTTAACTATTCATCAAATGATGGGGACAATAATAATAAGTAAAAATTTTCACCATCACAACTGTTAACGTCTTTTTCTCGGATCACTTATTTATTTTATTTTCTTTTTCCTGTGTCAGAAACAAGTCTCTTATCACTTTACTTAGACGAGCCTTACATTCATTATTGGCTAAGACTTCTTGTTGTCATCTTTGATTTCTTGAAAATTATAATCAATGATGTATTACTCATGCCCGACAAAATTTACTCCTTTCTCAAAAGCTCGTTTAAAGTAAAAACAGACTCTTTTTTATTATTATTTCTTTGACAATACATAAAGATTTATGTTGAAAATATTCGCTCATGATTAGGAAATTAAAAAAGAGAAAAATCAAAACATCACGAATTATGGTGATTGTGAGTACATTTTGAATTTTGTCTCGTATTTAAATATTTTTGGCTTCAATTGTTGTGGAACGTTTCACTATCAGTCACCTTTAGCACAACAGGTAAGAATCATTGAACCCTTTAATTTCCATTGCTTCGATATAGCACCCTCTTTTTTCGTGCACTTGTAGATAAGATTTTTAATAATACCCTTTTAGCTAAGGTTGTCCTGATCAGAGGAACAATATATATTATCCAACAAAATTAAGTTGTATATTGTATTTTATCAGTTTTTCCAGTCTCTTTCAACTTCTTATAAATCCCTTTCTTTTTTATTCAGATTTTCTCAATAACATGATATGATCATATTAAAGAAAAATATAAATTTTATCACTTATAATTAGTGAGCATTACAATCAATAAGATGGGTTACTATCTAATAAAAATCGATTTTTTTAATATAATCATGCCATGTTAAATGTGAAAATCATCAAATTCTTTCCTTTTATTGCTAAGTTCCTCTGTACCTTATGTTTTGTTTGGTTTAACTGTGATTTTATGCTTCTTAACTACAGTTTCCATCATAATCAGAATATTTTTCACTTTAATCTAAATTTTAGGACAGTCTAATGAGTATAGAGGAAGAGGTCGGGTAAGTTGATCATGGTTGATTTTAAAACCCACTTTTAGAATGCGAGAAACTGACATGAAACTACAAGCATTACAAAACGAAAATTTATTTACTAATCATTAGTTTTTATTAGTGTAGACTGTTTTTTAACGGAACTTAAACTATTAGTATAATATTTATAAGTTTATATTTATATAAAATATATATTATACTAACAATATCAGGTAATAATAATATATAAACTTTCTATATTAACAAACTTATTTATTATTATATTATAAACATACATTTATAATATTTATGTTAACGGTTTAATTTCTATTATAATTAACAAACATAAGTTTAATTAGTAAATATTTTTTAATGAAAAAAGTAAGGTATGACTTATCTTTTAATAATATTTTAGTATGTGAACTCAATCTAAGAGTAAGAAAGAGTGATTAAAATTGAGGGAGAATGGTTAATTAGATTTAAGCTTGAGTGACTTAATTGTAACGAGTATTACCTTATATCTTTAACTTAGTTGTGGCTTGCATTTTTAATATTTTTCCTTTAACCTGATTGTGTACTTTGATTTTTAGCCTCTTCTTGGTATAGGTCAAATCCAAAAGTGAGGAAGAGTGACTAGATTTAACATATTTGTCTAAATTGCATTAAATAATTTAGACTTGAGATCTTCTTACCTATATACCATTTGTTTTGTTGTTAATCTATTTGAGTCTCAACTTATTATGGGCTCCAATCCAAAAGTAAGGAGGAGTGACTAGGTTAAAGCTGGAGTAACTTATTTGTCTAAAATATATTAGATAATTTAGACTTGAGATCCTCTTATCTATATACCATTTGTTTATTGTTAAACTATTAATATGTGACTTATCTTATTACATAAAATAATCATAATTGATTTTAATAAGCATATTGATAACTGATTGATATTAAATTCTTGTCTTTGAAGCTATATATAGAGATATATAGATGGGATGAAAGGAAAAGTGAGACTTACATGGGAAGCAACAAAATAAGCGATCATGTTAAGGGCGATTCCCCACCAAACTGTGCCAAAAATGTAGCCAGAGAGGTTTTGCGTGTATCGTAGATGGCAAACAGAATGATAAATTTTGGGAAGGTATTGGAAGAGAAATATAATTAAGAACACTGTCATCACCAACGTAACTGAACCCTTCTCCAACAGCGAGGGGATTGCCACCCAAAGCATAATCTGAAAATCAAATAAATAAATTTTGAAATATAAGTATGTACGTACTCACTCATTTTCTTAATAACAAAATATTACTTATACCTCACTTTTTGAAGTTTACGTACATTCACTTCATAAAGTTCTAGCGACTGTAGTATTTTAACTAAAATCAGAGTCTTTCATTTCGTAAACCAATAACATTCTATCAATAGGGAATATAAGTTGTAATCCAAGTACCCATTTCAGCCATATCTTTGTCGTACACCGATCTAAAAATGTAACACCTATTAAATTCACATGCTCCATATGTTTTTAGTGTTTATAAATAATAAATTTTAATTTCAATTTTTTATATATTTATGAATTTTAATCCTCGTAATTTTTAAAATATTTTAAAAATTTAGTGACATATCATGAATCCAATACTACGTAAGTGACCGTTCTAAAATGATAACTCACATGACATACACGTCACATCATTAATAAGCAATAATTAAAATTATTTCTAAGAATTTAAAATTCATAAAATTTTAAAATAATTTTTTTAAAAGATTAAAAGTAAATTTAATCATATTAACTTAAAGAGATACGATTATTAAAATTTAAACCAATTATGAAAAGTAAAAACAATGTAATTTAATTAAAATTGAACTTAAATATCCTTTTTTTATTAATATACTATCTAAAAATTTAAAATTAAAATTCATTAAAAGTATAATAATCTTAATATTCAGTTTATCTTAAAAATAAGATATTTTTAATATGATACATTCTATTAAATTTAACTTAAATTATATTTAAAATAAATAATATTTAAAACAAATAAAAATTAACAAAAAATTAAAGAGAAACCACATTGCATAATAAGAAGGACAATTATTCCTAAATTAGTTATTTAAAATAGCTCTTAAAATGATTTTTATTTAAAGACGACTCTCAAATTTAATATATTGAGGTAAAATTTTAAAGAAATGAAATTAAACAATCAATGATGAACAAAAGTCAGATGACATACATATGTACCATGTTATCACTGAGTTGTAATGTTAATGGCCACGAATGAATTGTTCTAATTATAGGGGACCACGTTATGCATATGCCATCATTAATAAATTCTAATCAGACAAAGAATCAGATTGGTTGTATCTAAATTGGTGGCTCCCATTCGGGTTTGATACAACAAACTCAGTAACATATTTTGATGTTCATTTTTTATTTTATTTTATTGTACAAGTTCAAGCAGCAAGCAACGCATGTTATGCAGATCAGTACATCAAACAAGTGCCGTGTGTTACCTTCTTAAGAATAATGCCAAGAATCACACTTCAAATTTTCCTTTGGTACAATGCAAACAACAAAGAAAGGAAAAAGAAAACACAGTCACACACCATCAAAAGTTTGACAAACAAAAGTACCTCATCTGCAAAATTCTGGGATTGGGAGGTTTTCTGCAGGAACATGTGCTTTAGGCTCATCCAGTGTTCCTTGCTTCGTAGAGTTTATCAAATGCTCTTTTTTTATATTTTTATTTTCAAGTGGAATACTATCGGACACTTGTTTAATCAGCAGTAATTAATCAAAATGGGAAAGAATCTGTTTAAATGCTAGACTTAAGGGGGTGTGTGTAACTAAGTGACTTGCAATGTGGGTTAGAGGACTAAGAATCGAATGTCCCCTTCATGGAAAGAAGGAAGGTTATTATTAATTTAAATTAAAATATTTTATAAGTATAATTAATATTAAATTAAAAATAAATAAATTTTTATTTTTCCCACTTCACACGTCTCTTTATTTAAAAGACTCACTTCCATAATAATGAGGTGAGCAGAAGAATTTATAAAAGACAATAAGCAGTCATAGTCATGAAAATCATAATTATAAGGACACCCAACTTTCTAAAATAATAATAAGCATACATGAATGAACGATTATGTATGATATATAAATAATTTTAAAAAGTAAGGGAAGAATTAAATAAAATATAAATAATTATTACATAAAACGCACAATACACACAAGAGTATAAAAACACATCCTAAATGAAATCATCTTCACAATATACATATAGAACAAACAAATCTTCCAAATAATTGCAAAATTAGCATCTCATAAACGCTAACGCGAAACATCGCATGCAGAATAATGCTGACAACCATCAAAGTCTCCATGCAAAATTATGCAATCGCATACACTTACTTGTCGTCTCTTCCCTCAATAACCACTAATATATAAATACCAAACAACGAACTTTCTCCTCTCAAATCATTATTTTGATTAAGAAAACAATAAAATTTATCGCCAATATGCCGTCCATAACAAGACAAAATTCATAATGAAATAAAATCAATCATACTTGTTAAACATTCCTTTTTTTATTTAAATCTTCTAAAACAAGAGATATATGGAAAATGAGAAAATTAAAAATAGCTTTTTGTTAATTTAACAACTTTATTAATTTCAGTCATGAAAGTTAACTTTAACAGAAATAGTATATTTTTATGAAAATATTTATTATAAATTTATATTTTTGAATATACACTTTAAATAATTTTTTTAATGTTTAAAATTAATCTTTTAGATTATTTTAACATGCTTTTTAATTTTAATTTAAAGTAAGGAATAAGCATTAAATATACATATATGTATCTCTTTAATTTAGAGATTTTTTTTACAATTCTATTTATTACATCTTTTAAGAAAGTAAAATGCAATGTATGATTTAAAAAGAGACATGTAAAAGAAGGAGAAAATAATGGATTATGTAGGAGTGCTTGAATTTAATCAGAAGATAGGAAATCATCTTGATCAATTAAACTGCTACAGTTTCATTCGTAACATTGGTTGCTAATTTTTATATTTTTTACTCAAAAAAGCATTTTCTTATTAAATTTGTATAAAAGAAGTTTCTTATGAATTTTTTTCTGTGTCAACAGAGGAATGTAAAATTAGTTAACAATAAATAAAACAACAAAGGAATAAAAAAAAAATTACCTGGGGAAGAGGAAGAATAACAAACAAGTCAAAGAAGAAGCCCGTCCGTGACTTGATATAACCAAGAGCAACAGAGCCAGGCCTCGTGTCTATAAGTCCGTCGGAGGAGCCACCGTCCGCCGCCGAAGCTGCGGCGGCGCCCAATCCAAACGACCGTTTCGCCATCTTGAAACGCAGCAACATGTTCCACACGTGGAACGCGTCCGTCATGCAACGCAGCACCGTTACAGTAACGGCGAGCCAACCGTCAACAAAGACGCACATGCAGGATTCACTAACGGAGAGCGCGTAAAAGAAGAGAGGGTCCACGAACAACCCCATGGCGCACACTAGCAAGAACACCCGGTTCCATTCCTGGACCCATCTCGCCCTCGGGTCCAAAACCCGACGCAGCCCCAATCCTCCCCTCCGCCGCGCGCCGCCGCACACCTCCGGCAATCGCCAGCGGACGGCGGAGAACTCGGTGGTGTCCGGCGCGTGCTTCTCCTCCTCTTCGTCGTCGTCGTCGCTGTCCTGAGCGTCGTCGTCTGAGGTGGTGGCGTCATGGAGCACGTGAGAAGCACGTGAGTAGTCTTGGTCTGTGATAGTAGCCATGGTGGAGAGAAAAGAGGAAAATATTAATAATAATATTTATAATTTTAGGGTGAGTTTTTAAAGTGTGAGGAAGTGAAATTGGGGAATAATTGGGTGGGTAGGAGCATATACCTACCTGGATTAGGATTTAGAGATTAGGGATTGGGATTTGGGATTTGGGATTTGGGATGTTTGTATGTATGAGAATGTGTGTTGAAATGTTCTGACACAGTTGGGGTCTGAGAAGTGAAGTTGCTCTCTATTCATATAGCCATGCTTGGTTGTTTGTTAGAGAGACCCACATGTAATACCAACATAGCTTCAACTTTCAATGATTTTTTATTTTGAACATGAGATCAACTCATTACGATATGCTATACTACTCTTATCTACTACTTCAAAAACATAAAATAAATGCTAAAATTCTTTTATTTTTATGTATTTTAATACATTTAATGCAATTTTAAATAATAATAATTATTTATTAATCATTAACTAGTATTTTTATGACTTGTTAATAAAATTTATAAGCTATCTTTTTATACTCACCTTGTATATAAATTTTCATATTAGTATTCATGCTCGCAGTTTAATTATTGAGTGAAATATAAGATTTTTTAAATATCTTTTATGAATTAAAAAGGTCAAAATTTAAAAAATTGTTTAACATTCTAATTTAAATTATAAGGTTAAAAGTAAATAATATTAAATTTGATAAAATAGTATCATAACGACAGACGTAACGAGTTGAGTTACTTACGAATTATTCAGTTCAGTAATTAAAGATTTTGGCTTTAAAATTAATTTATTTAAATAAATTATTAATATAAATGATTCACTTAAATCTGATTTTCTAAATAAACTTAAAATTTTTTACCCGATTCATTAAGTTTACACTCCTGATCAACAAACGTCGGCGCACGGCGTAAATATTCTTAAGTCAAACTCATCAAATAAATATTTATATCTAATAAATATAAAACATATTATCATCCATACATGTGTATATGTTACGAGAATAAGTGTTGGAAAGAAATTGAAAAACTATTTGTAATGCATGATTTAACTTGTTTGGTAGTATTTTTTTTCAGAATTTTCTTCTTTTTAAAAATTTATTTTCTCTTTTTTTTTTTTGTAGGAACTCTATATTTGGATATTTTCATTTATCAATTTTTTTCTTATTTTTAAAAAATCTTTTGAATTTGTTTTTAGTTTGACTTTTTTCTAAAGAAAATAAAATTTTAAAAAATTATATATTACCTTGGTATCCATTATATCTATTATGAGTGTTACTATGTCCTCTACATATAAAATTAAAATGTACTAACAGTATAATAGTTTTTGCACTATCATTCAATAAAAAAAATATATTACCATTTAAGTAAAAATATTGACTTTATGATAATTAATATGAAAATTATAGATACTAGTATTATAATTAATAGTGCATTAAAATTAAAATAATCAGTTAATTATATCCTTATATAATATTTTTAATAATTCTTGAGTAATCTATATTTAAGAAGTATTAACTAATAACAATAATATTTTAAATAATAAACATTTAATATTCTCTTTGTATAATGATGGAAAATGTTGTTAAAAATCAAGGTGCTGTAGGAATCATTGAAAATTTTGTTTTAAAATTATGGGTGTAGCATGGACACATCTAAAAATACTTTCAAACAAAACTTATTAAATATTTTAAAATAAGAGACTAAATAAAATAGATATTCATAAATTATTTGAACTCAATTCATTTAATCTCTAATTAAAGTTAAATTTAAATCGAATTTAAGTATATAAATTTGATATTAATAATTTGTAAATAACTTATATACATTCGTATAAACATGTCTAGTATAAAGTAAATAGCTATAATTTTATTTCTTATCACCTATTATATATCCGTTATTAAATTTAAATGGTGATTTTTCAAAAGAATTCACTACCTATAATGGGTGATTATTACCTAATGAAATAATTCTGTTAAAATTATTTAGTAAATTTCTTTATTTTTTCTGTTTATTTATTAAATTTCTCAAATAGTATAAATTATTTATTTGTATGATACGAATTTGTATATATATAGGTATTAGTGGAAAAAAAGGGTAATAATTCAACACTTTTTCTAATGCAAGTCTAATGACAACTAATAAAAATTTACACATAGGAATTGTTTTTTCAAAATTATAAAATTTAATGCATTGATAATAGTATATTATAAAATATTAAAATTTTAAAAACAAATTTATGCATAATACTGAATAAAATTATTAAAAATAAGTGTAGAAATTATTTAATTTTTTAAAAAAAATTATGGGCCTAGCATGTAATATTTTTTAGTATAAAATAAATATTACATGATTGGATTGTTAAACATTTTTAAGTATTTTGGACTTCTGTTTTTATAATTGAATTTAAGCATATAGAAGTAATATTTTTATTAAAAGATGGTATTTATTATAATTTTATATTTTTATGTGAATGAATAGTTTTTTCTCGATAAAATTTAATATCTTTCAATTACTTATCTTCAATTTTTAAGACTTAGGTTAACAATATTCAATTAAAATTGTGAATTTTAAGTAAAATATTAATAAAAATGAATGTATTTAATTATAAAATTTCATTAATTCTAAAATATTTTAAAATCAAAATTAAATATTTTAGATTAAAAAAGTTAAGTGTATCATTTTCCTTTGCCTGTCTCAAACAGCAAGAATCAGAATGAGTTAAGCACTCTTCCATGTTAATTTTTAAAAAAATTATATGTTTATTTTTACTTTTATGTATTTATTTATTTATTCAATAAAATATTTTAAATAAGAATTAGTTAAAAAATAATAATAAGCATTTTAAAAATAACAATAAATATACCCATATTTCAAAACAAAAGGTTGCTGGATTGTTCCCAACACATTGCTCACTTCAATTAATTAGGCACTTTAATGTACAAAATTGAATGTGTCTTTGATTTGGCACACTAGCCAGACACTCAACAATGTCAGCAGTATAAGGGGCAAAATAAATGCAATATTAGATTATGACCAAAAAATAATAATTATAGAATTTAACATTTCTTTTCGAAGCCATAAATTTTTAGAATATCAAAGCTTTATTTAAGTAAATATATTTTTAAATAAAATTCAAACGCACTTAATATATAATATTTGTAAAAGTATGTTAATAGTTAAATTTATTTATTTATTTATTTATACCATGTTTTCACGAAAGAAAAGTACTAGATCCTATATTATTACACTTTTTTTTTAAGGAAAGAGATACATATTTTTAGGAGTAAGTTTTGAAAATTTACATTGTATAATATCATATTTTTAAACACCGAATTATATCAATTTAATTAGTTAATCGTATAATTTAATTTTAATGGTTATATATGTTAAATTTTAGATTAATTAAATATTTATGTACTTGTTATTATTGATATTTATTTAAATTTTTAAAAAATATTAGACATCAACTTTATTTAATCTAATATTAGTTTTGCATTTATTCTCTCTTTTGGTTTTTTTTTTTTCATCTCTTATGGTTTTAGTCAATTTTTCTTTCTCTTTCCATAACGAAGAATATTTTTTTTTTTAATAAACAATGAACCGAGTATATATACTTTTAGAGTTTTATTAACTTTGACTCTAAAGGTTGAACAGCTAATAGTAATAAATTTTTAAGAAAAAAATATTTATTATATTTTTATAACTTTAACGTAATAATTATGTACTTTTTTTATAAATTTTTTTTTTTAGATATTTAAACTCAATTTTAATAGCTAAAGTTAACAAAACTCATATTTTTAAGAGTGTTACCGATATTTGAAACATAGTTTTTGTTCAAACTAGTTTTGATCATTGCCTGATTTGTTCTATAACATTTGAATAAAGGTGAAAAGGGATAAAAAAAAATTATAGGATATCATAGATTTCAATGTATTGACAACATTTTCAATAAAGAATTACAATTTATTAATTTTTTTTATTGTGCATCCAAAATCAACTAAATATTTCATGCTTCCTTCTTACTTTATTAATTCATTTCAATGGATAATTTAGTTATTTTTTAATACACTACAGACTTGGATTATTTCTTTAAACTAATATTAAGAAAGTTTCATATTTAAAATTATAATTTTTTTATTTGTTTATTTACTTTTTCTCTATCCAAAGATTGCTTACATTCGAAATGGCAGCAGATAAAAACTACCACTATTTTTTGTAAACGTTACTAAATAATCTTTTACTACCATGTATAATTATTGGCAATTGTAAATTGTTGTCAAATAATAAAAAGATAAAAATGCTGCAATTTTTTTAATCATTTTTGTTATTCAAATAGTATTAACCGCAATTAGGGGACATTAAATTCGCCACTAAAAAAACAATTCTAAATTGGCATAAGTTTTGTTAATTTACTCGCAGCTAAATTTGCCACTAATAAATCAACTTTCGCGAAAATTTATTCTTTTAGTGATTTTTCATTCGTTTTACTGTTGGAAGCAATTAATGCATCAAGTTACTCATTTTTTATTAATTCCTCACAAAAGTATATTGTTATCCTTAAACATAATAAACATTCTTTAATCTTCGTGTGAAAATAATTAAGCAAGCATGATATAATAACATTAAAGTTATAGTAACTATTGTGTTGCCTACTTTTCAAATAATGAAACAAAAATTTATTGTTTCATAAAAAAAAGTACATAAATATTAATGAGATTATCTTATTTTATTTCATTCTATTTTATTTGGTGATGGTAATCCTTGTGGGACATTTTAAAGGATGCTCTAGCATATCATACAAGTAAAAGTTACAAAGATTAGAATAGGAATGTTCAATAAATGATCCAAATCATTAGAATAAAAACTGAAAAAATAATTGATAGAAATATTATATTTTTGTGATTTTTTGTCATTTTCAAAATCGACCCAAAATAAATTAAACTACAAATATACTACTTTTGTATTAATTGCTTTATTTTTATACAAATACAAATTTATTTTTTTTAGTTTTGACAAAGGTTTGAGATTATTTAAATTAATGAGAAAGACACTCTTTTGGGTGAGAAAAAAAGAGAGAGGAGATGATAATTAGTATTGGTAGTGGCTTAGATATGCATGACAAGGACAAGAACCAAAATGTCTGTCTCATTGGCAAATAAGTTTGAGCAACCCAGGTTCCTGGCAGCTTCTTTTTTTTGTTTTTTTCTCCATCAATTGGTTTTATGATCACTATCGTACTACAATTTTGTAATTGATGTTCAGATTTTGCTAGGTATATGCAGCAACACCTTAATTAAAGTTTTTAATTAAAAGATACAGTAACTTTAAAAGTGTATGAAGT